GTAAAGTTGAACACCCATTTGAGAGTCTCCAACTATTTACAGTTTTCTGTCTTAACTGCAGCTCCGGTTTCTTGTCCCTGCTGGTCTACTGATCCGTATATGAAATATGTGAATCTGTCAGATGGCAAGTTTGCTTCTATATGCATCTGTGCAATATTATGTAGCAGATGAGGATTAGTCTGATTCTTTTTTCTTTCAAGAGCCATAATCTTAAGTCTGTTGGCAGGGATTCCCAAAGGGCTTGCATAACAAAGTCTCCATGTATTTCGTCAACATCTCTCTCTGTGACTGTATTTGTTATATCGAATGTGTTGATGGTGTTTATGGCACAGTGGGTCCACCTGTTGCTATTGGAGGCTCTTCTGTCCCGAGTTATTGCTCCAGTGATTATATCTTTAAGTGAACTGATTCTAGGTTCACTAGAATATCTATATCAATATACAAATATCTATATCAATATCTTGGTCAACATGCAGGCAGCAATCTCTTTTACCCTTATTTCAATCGACGTTAGTTTGGTTTCTGGTCTTAGGTTCAGTATTTTAGTCCATCTGGGAGCCCCTTTTATGACTTGCATTGCATCATTTTGAATAATCTCAACGTTTGCCCACTGACCAGGAGAAAGAGTGAATAAGGCAGGCGCTGCATAATCAATTAGGGAACGAACGGCGTGTATGTAAAATATTCTTAACACTTTGTGTCTCACTCCTAGACGGGGCCCTGTGATTGCTCTCATTATATTCAGTCGTGAGTTTGCTTTCTCCTTCAGATATTAAATTTGCTTGTTAAATGTCATTTTAGAATCTATCTACACTCCGAGATATTGATACTGTGTAACCCACTGAATGTTGATGTCTTGAATGCGTAGGTGACTGTCTGGAGTGTTGCCTCTTAATCTCATTGCCTTAGACTTCTGTGCAGATATTTTTATCCCTAAAATGCTGCATTCAGATGTTACTTTATCAAACGCCACTTGTGCTTTATTTAGAAGTGAAGGACCCGTAATTCCTAATGCTATATCATCAGCATAGCTCAGTAATTTAACCCCTTCTACAAATGTCATGGTAACGAGGTTTTCCATAAAGATGTTGTTACGACCCTGGGTTCTCCAGTGGAAACCAGAGGTCAAAACTTGAGCTATTAAACTTTCTGGTAGTACAGTTGGGCATCTCGAATGGCAATTGTTTGTATCTTCCCTGCCAGACGTAAGACTATTATTGTTTCTCAAAGAGCATTTAAAGACTGAGCTGGGGGTTGATTATTAAATAATAACATAGGCACCAACTTTGCTTACTAATACTTTCTAATCACTCATAAAGTAACAATACGTTGCATAGGGGAAGATCTTTAATGTGCTTAGCTGCACGATCAATTAGGCTCCTTCCGGCACCACGACATGAGGGAGGCAGCTGGTCGCTAGCTCTCTCTTCTCTGGCTGGTGTCGTGCGGATAAGACCTACTCTGTGGCTGCACCCCTACTCTTCTCCCTTCTCCTCTTACTTATTTCCCTTACCTGAAGTTCCTGTATCCTTAAGTTAAGTACGGGGCATTATTAAGTGAACCTACTCTGGTAGTAAATATTGGTGAGACCTGGGGTTAGTATTTGCCAGTGTTTTGTTTACCCCTAAGTGTTGTGTTTTGTATTAGGGTACCACATGGTCTCACTACCCTAAGCTGCATCCAGCTTCAGTGCTTATCCAGTAGTACTTTACCCTAGCTTGTTATTAGTGTAACCTTGTATCCTGCCTATGTGGACCAAGGCTTTTAACGTAAGATAGTGTGGTAAAGTTATTATTATTATTGTTATTGGTGTGAGTGTATATGGGGGGTTGTTAAGGGGTTAATAAATAAGTACATGAATTACAGAGTATCTCTTCTTCCAGTGTGGGAGCCCATTGATCAACCCTTAGACTAACATATATGGTCTTGTAGCAAGTTATTACTACTGTGGATAGTTTATTTTGGGGGCCGGGCCTTTTAGCTCTCCCATATTTGATACTCTTGTCTTCTAACTACCCTTACCCCTTAATAGTACCAGTACCCCATAGAAGCCCCACATCTATTTATGTAACAGATGTTAAAAATATACTAGGACTGAGGACTCCTCCTTGTGGAGTCCCATTCTCATGCAAGTTAAGTGGTAGTCCAACGCTTATCCTTGCAACTTTACTCTGGCATACCTGTGACTTTAAGTAATCTTGAATACATTCTAGGATATTTCCCTTTACACCTTTTTTAACTAAGGTATGTAAAATTGCTTGCGGGCTTGCAAGTTCGAATGCTCTTTCTAGATCAAGAAAGATCACTATAGTCGGACCTGAGTTAACTGTTCCTAGTAATGTTGCGATGCAGTTGGTAGTATCTACTCCACGTAGACAGTACTCTACTCCACGGCAGCACGATATTAATAAAATGGGGTCTGTAATTGCCAGGTTCTTTCAACTTATGAATTTGAATGATGTCTGCTTTCTTCCAAGAGGTCGGTAGTTTGTCTTGCTGCCAAGATGCATTGATAACGTACAATATCACGTGTTCTCCAGCAGGACCTGCATGTGCGACCATTGAGTATGTAATGTTATCAGCACCTGGTGCAGTGTCCTTACAACCTTTTTTGGCTCTGATTAGTTCTTGTTTGGTAAAGGGACAGTCACATTCGCCATTTGTAGCTATGCTCTCACGAATGGCTGTCAACCTCTCTTGTTTTAACTGTTCCTGCTGCCTTCTGACCATTGCAAGAAGCTGATATGAAGGTGCTCTTTCTGCAAATTTGAGAGCAAGTCTCTCAACCTCCTGCAATGGCTGTGAACTATATGTTTAACACATCTCTAACCCTGTCCATGGAGGACAGAAGAAAATGTATATATGCTGGTTAGCACTGTAAATGTGTGGCCACGTTTGTGGTAAAAAAAAAAAAAAAAGGCTGAGGCATGCCTGTGGTCGGGCTGGTCGACCTGATATGGTTTTAATCTGACCTTATATCTTGCCAAGACTACTATCTTCATTTAGAGTTTGACACCACTCAAACCATTTTGCCTCCTTTATCTCTCTAGAAACTCGTCTTGCTTCAGATATCACCGCTCTTAGCAAAGTTCTTCCTTCTGGTGTGGGGTTCCTCTTTAGATGTTTTCTGAAGATGTTGACTCTGTGGTTTTGTTCTTTGACTTCATTACTATAGAACCAATAGTTCTTTCGTTTTGTTTCCTGAGATAATGATTATAATAGCTTTGTTTGCAGCAGCTACATTGGCTTCCTGGAGATTGGTCTCGTGTATGTTCAAATCCTCAGGTGGCGTGTATGTTGCATACCATTTTTCACGTTCCTCTTGGTATATATTCCAGTTGGCTTATTTTCAAATTCCACCTAGGTTGTGCAGGTGGTGTAGGAGGTCGTTCAATGTTTAGTGTTGTGACAGTAGCATAGTGGTCACTGGTGATCACCGGGTCTACCTCCCACTTCACCTGATGCTTGAGCGCTGTTGAGATTAATGTAAGATCAAGGGAACCCCTTTAAATGCGAGTGGGTTCCCCAGTGTTAAGAAGTGTAATTTCAGGTACTTCTCGCAGAGCTGCAGCTAAATGGCGCCCATCTGCATTGGTTGGCCCAGTCGCACCCAACGCTTGATGATGAACATTAAAATCCCCGGCAATAATTACATTTTCGTGCGTCGCCAAGGCAAGCACTGCCTCTGCTTCTAGTTTACGTCTAGGGGGGCTTGTAAACGTTGTATATGAGGAGCTCAATATTAGCTATATTCACTAATACCTCTACTCCATCCCCACGTGAAACTGGGTCTATTTTCTTGCTGGGTATGGTGTTTCTGACTAGGGTGATTAACCCTCTTTGTCTTCCCTGTTCATTGCCTTCCCTGTTGTAGGAAAGTGGTCTGTCTGCATTATCTTGAATTTTGGAAGATGTGCAGTCTGACAATATCTGGTGTGAGAGTGGTGGTGTCCTTTAATGTCTCAACGTGGTTCTGTGGCTGGGGTGTGGAGAGAGGTACATTGTCTGACACTGGCTGGAGTGAGACTAATGTTGTCCTCTCTAGATCCATTATGTCTGGTGCCTTGCTGGCAGAAGCACGTGGAGAAGCCTCGATAGCAGTTTTCTTCGGTGCCTGCTGCACCTCGGTCCACTGTCCCTCCACGTCTGAAAGCTGCCTCCATTGCCTGCTTCTCTCTTTGACTTCCCCCATGAACTCTCTACGTAGTGAAGACCGATTCACTGCCCTACCTAATGCCTGAGACACTCCTAGGCCTGGAGAAATTCATTTCCCTCCAACGGAGGTCGTAAAATGATTTCCACAGTTGGAATCAGATATACGTAACACCTATTGAGCTGTTTTGTCTACCTTTCCCTGAAAAGGCTCAGTACACCTTCTAAGGTGCCCCCTTGTGGCGATGCCCGCAGGGTATCGCCTCACCCTTCAGGGTAAAACTCTAAGTAATCTGGTCAGTAATATGGTCCTCAAAAAAAATGGTCATGGGCTACGAGTGTGGTACGACAGTTTGGGTTGCCTCTGTACTGGGTTGCATAGAATACCAGTCAGCTGGATGGCAGATAATCAACAACGTCCTTTGTCCATCAACTGTAGACGAAATCAGTATTATTTCCTTCCAAATAAGATATTCTGTGGGTCTTGCTTGGTGCTCTTCCTCACAAAACCGCAATGGTTTGAGCTGGTCGGTGCTCAGAATCTAAGTTTTCCAGGAAACAAAACCATGTGCGGCCTGCTAGCAATGGCAGCGAGTCTCGATCTACAGATAAATGGCTCTTTTTGCATGGTAGAGTTATTATAGATGGATTAGCTTGTGTAGACTTCACTTTGTCTCAGGTGGATAAGGTGTCGTTGAAGTACTTGGTGCATTATTTTTCTCATGCTATTTTATAGACAATCCAAGTTTACAGTCAACATGTTCATTTAAATGCATAATTGACTGCCTATCATGGGTCAACAGGCCTGATGCTGTGCTTCCTAATGCTTATATATATATGTATGTCAGGGATGATGCCGTTGTGGATGTTCACGCTGGGCGGGAAGCTGCTGGAGGACGCTGATATCAAGATACCCTTCAGTACCCTGGCCATCTCCCTCGTCAGCCTCACCGTCCCTATCACCATCGGCATAATCATCAGGTAGTCGAAGCTTAATCACTTCCTAATAGTCTGAAAGTCTTGCGTATATCTGTCAATAGTTTACATAAAGTTTTCTACTCTCGCAGCTTCCCTAGTCAGTGAGACTGACCAGAGAATTCAGCCCCTCCTCCTGTTTCGGTAGTACTTATAGTAACGATAAGGACCATAATATATATATATATATATATATATATATACCGACGTACAACGAAATTAGAACGTGTAGAATATATATATATATATGCAATTGACGATCACAAAACACTGATCATTTTATGCGGAATATCCACAGAGAAATATGAAATGAGGTGAACGTTTCGGCTTTGTTAAAGCCTTTGTCAACACCAGACTGACAGTCAGTCTGGTATTGACAAAGGCTTTAACAAAGCCGAAACGTTCACCTCATTTCATATTTCTCTGTGGATTTTCCGCATATATATATATATATATATATATATATATATATATATATATATATATATATATATATATATATATATATATATATATATATATATATATATATATATATATATGTGTGTGTATGGTATTTCCACTTCTGTTGAGTCAGAGCATTAAAACGTCTAATAGATACTTGTAAAAAGACGACATACATCCCTCATACAACATTATACACGACATATAATGCACAACAGGACACGACACACGGCCACGCACAGCTTGTAGTCTTGTCAAATCTGGGTGACAGTGTTTGTGTTCGTGTGTGTGTCGTGCCATTAGTGTCAGGGGCTAACTTGACGTTCTTTTAGGTTGAAGAGACCGGCATGGGCTGAGAGGGGAGCCAAGATTATCAAGCCGTTCTCCTTCTTCTTACTACTGTTCTTCATAACTGTGAGTACTGGGTGTTCACTATTGTGAGTCATGGGTGTTCACTATTGTGAGTCATGGGTGTTCATTATTGTGAGTCATGGGTGTTCATTATTGTGAGTCATGGGTGTTCATTATTGTGAGTCATGGGTGTTCATTATTGTGAGTCATGGGTGTTCACTATTGTGAGTCATGGGTGTTCACTATTGTGAGTCATGGGTGTTCATTATTGTGAGTCATGGGTGTTCACTATTGTGAGTCATGGGTGTTCATTATTGTGAGTCATGGGTGTTCACTATTGTGAGTCATGGGTGTTCATTATTGTGAGTCATGGGTGTTCATTATTGTGAGTCATGGGTGTTCATTATTGTGAGTCATGGGTGTTCATCATTGTGAGTCATATGTGTTCATTATTGTGAGTCATGGGTGTTCACTATTGTGAGTCATGGGTGTTCACTATTGTGAGTCATGGGTGTTCATTATTGTGAGTCATGAGTGTTCATTATTGTGAGTCATGGGTGTTCATTATTGTGAGTCATGGGTGTTCATTATTGTGAGTCATGGGTGTTCATTATTGTGAGTCATGGGTGTTCACTATTGTGAGTCATGGGTGTTCACTATTGTGAGTCATGGGTGTTCACTATTGTGAGTCATGGGTGTTCACTATTGTGAGTCATGGGTGTTCACTATTGTGAGTCATGAGTGTTCATTATAGTGAGTACTGGAGTGTTACAGAGGCACATAATGGGCTCAGGGACGGAGTGCCACAATTCATTTAGCTAAGCAAGTTACAACCTTAATGAACTAGTTTCAAAATTCAATGCACATCGTCACATCAACAATGGGCTCTCGAGACCGACCACAAGTACAGTTTATAATTTAGGCAACTGACATATGTGGAGGACTAGTGTGACAATTGACTCTATAACACGTATCTTTAAAAATGCCAGTCTGGGGATTAAATTACTTAAAAAAGTAATTATCAACAGAAGGCACCAAGCCGGGAAGGCTATGTAGCACCATCAAATGTTGGGAATAATCAGAGGGCGCTAAATATCGTTAAGGATGCCAATGTGGGTACACCACATGACCACCACACCGATGCCTACACCACGCAGTCTCCGTGGTGTAGTGGTAAGGCACTCGCATGGCGTTCCGCGAGCGCTATGTCATGGGTTCGTATCCTGGCCGGGGAGGATTTACTGGGCACAATTCCTTAACTGTAGCCTCTGTTTAACGCAACAGTAAAATGTGTACTTGGATGAAAAAACGATTCTTCGCGGCGGGGATCGTATTCCAGGGACCTGCCCGAAACGCTATGCGTACTAGTGGCTGTACAAGAATGCAACAACTCTTGTATATATCCAAAAAAAGAAAAAAAAAATTGTGAGAACAGAAACGCATTAGGCGATCGATATCAAAAGTATCCGATTCACCAAAGAAAATGGAAGTTCTTTGATCATTATTTTAAAAATGTATTTATCTTTTTAACAAAATCCCTTTTAGTGGTCCTCGGGATTTAAAATTGTGAATTTAGTGGTCCGTGAGGTCCGAATGGTTGGCGACCGCTGCCCTAGAGGATTCAGTTGATTCCCAGATTGCATTGCTTTCACCATGTCATGGTGTAGTGGTCTAAGGCGTGTGCTTGGCAGTACCCAAAGCATATAGGTTCGAATCCTCATGGCATCTACAAATTTTCTCATTGACATATCACGTTAATATGATTTCTTTGTGCACATAAAACAGATACAAACTAATCTCAATCTCATTACACATTTGTATATATATTTCAACATTGGTAAATATACCTTGATAGTCCTTATGCTGACTGGGTGCGAGAATGACTCTCAAAGTCATTCACTAAGTGATGTAATGATGGATTGACGTATCGCAACTGAAACCTCTTGAAACTAGTTTATAATAAGTAAGAATGGGTTTCGTCTTAGTAAGACCTCTGCTTGTTCACACACAGAGAAATGTGTGTTCATACTTGTGCAAGAGAATGAGGCACCATAATACCTAAGTTCTTACATCATTTTAGTGTGAATGTAATTTAATGTGTACATCATAATTGTTTTCAGATATGTTTTATATAAGCAGTAACGTCAACAGCTGCTACACACATGACCTGTAAATTGCTTATCTGTTCCTAGAGCGTAAGTTTACTGAATAGCAATATCAGCATATATAGTTTTCCTTTACCCGGGCCAGAAGTCTGTTAGACTTGTCAAAGCTTTCCCTAGCCAACAATTGACCTCTCTTATGAAGTAACCCACAACAGTTGCTCACTTCTCAGGCACCTCATTACTGCTAGGCGAGCTGAGGCATTAGGTGTAAGGAAACGTTGCCTGAAGTCGAACCCAGGACCAAACGCTATGAGGGTTCTGCGCTAACCACTTGCCTTTGTGTTGCAGATGGGAACGCTGAACTCCTACAAGGTGATGATGCTGATGACGTGGCAGATGGTGTTGGCTGGCATGCTGGTGATGGCCAGCGGCTACACCTTCGGCGCCATCTTCGCCAAGGTCATGTGCCTCTCCAAGAAGCAGGTCATCGCAGTCAGCATCGAGACGGCGCTCCAAAATCCCGGCGTCGCTTTCGTCCTCCTCAAACTTTCCCTGGAGAGTCCTTATAGGTATTGTTGACTTAAATTATTTTGTTGTTGTCCCTGGGTGTTGATCCAGCTCGCGAGGCTTCCTCCTCACCCACAAGGCTTCAGAGAGCTGGCCCCGTTGATACTGATCTTAGTGCTAGCAAAATAAATAACAACAATTATTATCATTATATTGTTATGATATAATTATATTGTAATGGTGATAAATACTGTTATACTTGATAAATACTTGTCAATCATGGTTATAATTATCATTAGAAGCAATGAGGTGACTGGAACCAGCGATCAGGTATATACTCCCACCCGCGCCTTACCCCTGTACCATCGCATAATATATCAATTTTCTCATGGATGTATCACATTAGTATGATTTTTTTGTGTGTGTATCTGAAACTGGAACGTATGGTTGATGAACTACTTTACCTACACTAGAGTGCTTGAGGGTTACGTGTAAAACATGGACGGGCTTCAGTAGAGACCTCCAGACTTCCTGGAGAAAGACCCGCCACTTGGCGAAGATGGCGCCGAAGGTGTAGCCGCTGGCCATCACCATCTGCCACGTCTGAATCGAGACAATGTGGATTCAGTTGAATCCGATGATTGATGAAGATTAAGCCACCCAAAAGGTGGCACGGGCATGAATAGCCCGTAAGTGGTGGCCCTTTTGAGCCATTACCAGTATCAAGAGCTAATACTGGAGATCTGCGGAGGTGCGACTGCACCCTGCGTGACGGGAGATGTCTCCCGTGAGTTGAATCCCACGTGGTGTATAACTTATACCATATCGGGGTGCAGGGGTAAGGTGCGCGGCTGAAGGTACCCTGATTAATGGTTCGAATCCCCTCATTGCTCCAGATGATTTTCTAATTGATATATCACGTTAGTGTGATTTCTGTTGTCTATTATTTGTAATATTAAAATCGTTATTATCACTGGTATTATTCAGGTTACGAAATGTTGCTTATTCAACGCGATATTAATGAGATTCCTCACTGATCCATTATGAAGTGTAAATATGAATTAATATATCTATCTCTTCCGAAGAAGCCAGACATACATTGTTACATAAGTAATATAACTCACCCAGATTAATAATACAGTTCAGTATAACTTAAAAGATACTGTTAGAAAAGTCAAATAGCGTAAATGATGTATAATCAGAAGTGGTTACAGTGTTGGTACTTTCTGAAGTGGTGGTAGTGGTTGGAGTGGTGGAGTAGTGGTAGTTGTTTGCGAGGTAGTTGGAATGGACTTCTGATTACATATTGAAACACATGAAATATATGCAGGCGATGAGTCACAATAACGTGGCTAAAGTATGTTGACCAGACCACACACTAGAAGGTGAAAGGACGACGACGTTTCGGTCCGTCCTGGACCATTCTAAAGTCGATTGAGAACGATCCAAGACGGACCGAAACGTCGTCGTCCCTTCACCTTCTAGTGTGTGGTCTGGTCAACACATGAAATATATCACTGTGAGTCCTATATCCTCATTGCTATTAAATTAATTATTATTTTGATTCTGTATTAACCGCGAATAGAATAACAACGTACACAAATATTAATTACATTGTTGACCAGACCACACACTTGAAGTTGAAGGGACGACGACGTTCCGGTCCGTCCTGGACCATTCTCAAGTCGATTGTCAATGTTAATTACATTGACCTCTTTTCAGTGACCTGGCCTCGGTGCCTATCTTCTCGACGCTCTTCATGGCCGGCCCGCCCCTCATTCTCGCCTTCTGCGTCTACTCTGTGTTGCGGCACTTCTGTGGCTGTTGTCCCGACAGCGGCGGCTCTCCCGAGGACCCGCCCCACACGCCGCACCAACTCCACCAACTGAAGCAGCAACCAGCAGCGGCAGTTGACGCCCAGACCAAGGCTGGGGAGGGCACAAAATTTCTTGTAAACGTTGAACATTAAATGGAAATGATCAGTGTGCTTCCGATACAAGTCCTTGTTGTAATTATGATTTGTTACATTGTATATGTTTGTACTATATGTTACCTTGTAATTTGCAATTCATTAATACACAGTATTTATAAATAATTTAGACGACTTAAATTTTTTCATTCCAACTAAAATTTGAAAAAAAATCAAATTATATCAAATGTATGATAATTACCTGTTAAAACATATGTTCAAATCCACCAAAATTACAGAAGCAAATCATTTGAATGTTAACAATATGAAAATAACTTATGACCAAAATTGTCGGTAGACAGCAACACACATCTCTCAATATCGAACTTTGGCTAGCTTTCTGGCTCGCTTATTACTACATAACCAGACCGAATACATCTCCAGTTTCATAAACGTTGATTACTCTGGTTGTGGGTGTAGCTTCATGTTATTTATTCATTTATTTATATACAAGAAGGTACATTGGGTTTGTGAGAATACATAGCATTGTACAGTATTTACAATCTTGTAAAGCCACTAGTACGCCCAGCGTTTTCGGGCATGTAAAACTTTATTACGCGAGGCGGCCACCACGAACCTCCTGTTGGGAACTTCGCCACACACAAGAAGCAGCAACAGCTCACTGTTTCGCAAACATACACCTGGATATCCACCGCTATTTATAATTCACTTGGTGGTTCTGCAGTGTTGGAACAGACGCTAGGCTACTGGAACCTTCTTTAGCTCCAGTTTACCTGAATGGTCAGGAATCTATTCGACCGGCAAGCACTGTACCTCTTTCAATGGTCAACTATGATAATATCAACACTCTCTAAAGTAATTCTACTTATTACATATTTTAAAATCCCCCAGGATTTTAATTTTATCCCCCATGGATAAAATTAAGATAAAAAACATTTTATCCCCAAGGATAGTTGTTTTCTCTTACCACAACCGGTCTTCAGCTGGCAAAGATAAGACTAGTTCAACAAGATGTGTCAGTTTTCCTAATTATATAAATCTTTACTTGCATGACAAGAGAAAATAAATACTATATAAAGTATAATCGATAATATATATATATAAAGTTCCCTTGTAACATAACTCTTACACTACCACTCAATGTGTGTCATTAATTGCGGGGCTCCTCGTCATTTTAATGGGCCCATGAATAACCTTTGTTCATGAGGTACAAGTAATATTTTCTACTTGCTTATGCCCCCAAAGTATAGAAAATAACTATTTCCATCAGACTTTGCTTTCAGCGTTGACTTATACAACTTTGCGGGAGGTTGTCTTGAAGGCTGGCGACTCCTTATCTAGAGCTGTGACCAATCGTCAGTGTTCTAGATAAGGACTCGACGACCTTCAAAACATCTTACTTAAGCTGTATGAGACAAAGGTCAAAGTAAAATTTGAGAGGCCAAATCATCGCAGCTCTTTCACGGGGTATTCATGCCCGTGCCACCTCTCGGGTGGCTTATTAATCTTCTTCAGCCAATCGTCGCAGCTCTCTGACGGGAGACATCTCCCGTCACGCAGCGCGCAGTCGCATCTCCACAGATCTCCAGTATCAGCTCTTGATACTGGTAATGGCTCAAAAGGGCCACCACTTACGGGCTATTCATGCCCGTGCCACCTTTTGGGTGGTTTAATCTTCATCAATCGTCGCAGCTCTTGATAAGGAGTCGCCAGCCTTCAGGTAACCTTCAAGGCAGCTTCCCTAAGCAGTCTAAGGCAAAGACCAAATGAACATTTGAGAAGATTAATGGTAATTTTCTATACTTTGCAGACGTAAACAATTGTAGAAAATAACACTTATTACGCGACAAAATATTTAAACAAAATAGTGTAATTATTATATATAGTATTCAAACAATGGCTGTCTTACTAATGCATACAATGAGTCACAATTCAAAAAAAAATTCAAATTCAAATGTTTATTCAGGTAAAGTACATACATACAAGAGGTTATACAAAAATTGATAGCTTTATAGATAGAGCTAGTACATACAATGCCTAAAGCCACTATTACGCAAAGCGTTTCGGGCAGGAAAAACATTAAAGACTAAAACTAATAAGACAATATCGTGACCGATGATATGATGACCAGACCACACTCCAGAAGATGAAGAGACGACGAACGGTCCTGGACGGACGTTTCGGTCCGTCGTGGACTATTATCAAGTGGTGTGTTCAAGGCAACACACGATCTTCTGTTGTGTGATTTGGTCGTCCTGTCTTACTAATAAACATGAATTATTCTAGCAAACACTCAATAATAACTTACTACTGGGATCACACAATATATTTAGCCTAACCATATGAATGAAATCCCAGCCAACCTATTTACTTTAGTGCGAGTCATGCAAATGGAATAATATTTACAATAACAAAACTCTTAAATTTGAGGACCTAGATTCAACCAACAATGAGGAAGTAAACCCCATGGGATCCTCAGATACTAGCTCACGATGGTAGAAAAATGAGTGTGGCATTATAGAGCTGACACAGCAGCAGCAAAGGAAGCTACTGATCTACAAAATGTGATCAAAGCGGCATCAGACATCTAAACCCAAATAATGGGGGATTTTAACCATGAGACAATAGAATGGGTAAATCTAACATCACAAGCAGGAGAACATTGTCTAGATCTAGTTCTGGACTCCTTTCTCATACAGCAGGTGGTAGAGCCCACATGGGGTAACAGCATTCTAGATCTTGTGCTAACATCATAAGAAGGCATGATTGATCAAATTCAGGCAGAGACAAAAGTAATCCCCTCATGTGATCACCATATTTTAAGATGTACTACAAATACAGAAACCCACATAAGGGTTCATAATGATGAATTTCTATATTATCATCGAGTAGATTATCAATGAATGAGAGAGGAACGACAAAATATCTCCTGGAGGGAACTATTAGGTGAACATAACATAAAAGCATTATGGCAAAACTTAATTGACCTTAATTTTAAGGTCATCACGGAACTCGTTCAAAAATATGTGACAAAAAGGAGGAAGAAAAGAAAAGGAACAAGATGGATGACTCAGGCAGTAAAACAAGCATAGATAACTAAGAGGAACCTCCAGAGAACGTAAACATCCACGACGGACATCATTGATTATGATATACATAAAAGGCCACTAAACTCACCCACCCAGGAAATCAACCAAAAGGAACTACGACAGAAAACTTGCCCAAAACATAAAGAAAGATCCAAAGTCGTTCTATACCTATATAAGAAGTCAAATCAAAACAAAGAACTCGGTCGGACACTTAAAAGATAAGAATAACCAAACTATAATGGACGACAAAATGGTAGAAAACACTTTAAATAAATATTTTACACCAGTGTTCACACTAGAATGGTTAGAAGACATCCCATCACCCACACAAATGTTTCAAGGAGGCGAAGAGGCTGAATTTAGGAATATAACCACAACATGCGACACAATCAGGAAGAACATTGACAAACTAAAATAATAATAAAAAAATAATAACAATTTTATTCACAAGAAGGTACAATGGAAAGTCCACAAAATCTCTTGACCAAGGGATTTACCTTAGATTGGAAATATGCAAATGTCACCTCTATTTTCAAAAAAGGCAGAAAGAGCTCAGCGGAGAACTACCGTCCAATCAGCTTGACATAACACATCTACAAGCTCATGGAGAGAATCCTAAGGGAGGGAATCATTCACCATCTTTCAGTGAACAAACTTATACAATCGACACAACATGGGTTTGTTAAAAACAGATAAATCCTTAAAAACCTGCCCACATTTTTGGAAACAGTAACCAGCTACTCAGACAAAGAACTTACGGTCGATGCACTATACATGGATTTTGCTAAAGCCTTTGATAAGGTACCACATGAAAGACTGGTGAAGAAATTACAAGCACATGAAATAAATGGAAGAATACTAGAATAGATAAAAATATTGGTTGGAAGAAAGAAAACAAAGAGTCGACCTAAATGGGAATGAATCTGATTGGAGAAATGTGGTAAGTGGTGTGCCACAGGGGTCCATTTTGGGGCCAATCCTTTTTGTCATATACATCAATGACATAGATGAGAATATTACAAACCATATCTTCAAATTTGCAGATGACACAAAGATGTATGGTGAAGTGGGAAATGATAATGATACTGAATCCTTAAAAAGAGATCTACATGAACTTCACAAATGGTCAAAAGACTGTCAAATGATGAAGATAGCAATCATACCCAGCTGATTGTTTGTCGTACGTAGCATACAAAAACGCATTAAACTTCAATGTGAATATGGGGAACAGGAGAAAGTCAAAAGCCAGAGTTAAAACCAATAGTTAAATTTAATAAAACATTATAAAAGTTATTTAAACTCCTGCAATACAACTGTCTTTTTACAGATAATTTATAAGCCAAAATAACATAAATTATGAACACTAATTTCAACTCAATGATCCAGACACTGACAACAACTTAGTATAAGACTACCGTGCTACAAGATACAGTACCTGACACCATAACTCTTAATGAACTGCCTTAGCAAGTCATCAGGAGCTAAATGTTAACCCAACAGAGCAGCTGAGTTAACGTAACTCCAATGTCTCGTTTCTGCCAGACATCGACCAGCGTGCTTCCCACATCGACTATGTGGCATGATACCTAAACTACAGTGAAAGAATTGGAAGTCGTCTGACCTTTAACCCAATTCCCAACATCACTCGATGACCTTTTGGGGCACAGGTATTTCATCAAATCACTTCATCATGCTGGGGCCATGTGAGTAACATTTGTGTGATAAGCTTGAACGGTCCCCAAGCCAATATGCAACAGAAAACTCCTCACCTCCGAAGGATTCGAACCCAGACAGCCAGGGCTCCATGCACTTTGGCGTGTCCTGTACTTTAACCGCTAGGTTAAAGTCAGGAATTGGGTTAAAGATCAGACGACTTCCAATTCTTTTGAACAGTCAGTGTGGCCTTACGGTTAAAGTACTGGAGACGTCAAAGTGCATGGAACCCTGGTTATATATAAGTTTAAATAAAACAAATACCTTTTGTATACACTGTATACAAAAGAATGGGGGTGGTAGGAGAAGAAAATATTAGTGTTCAGTGAGAATCCACAAGGTCTTCCCTGAATACTCTTTATTTTCTTCTCTGAGGCTATGGGTCCCCACAATTGCACCATTGGTGGTACCCCACACAAATTTATATATATATATATATATATATATATATATATATATATATATATATATATATATATATATATATATATATATATATATATATATATATATATATATATATATATTTAGGGGAAAATGCTTTTACAATTTGTTATTAAAGAAGCCTTCTCCCAATCAATTTGGTGAAAACTTTCTGACAAATGAACAAAGCATTAGACAATTGGCAATGTCTTACAGAGTATTTATGATGCAAAATTCTAAATTTCAAATCTTTGAATGTTTGCCCTACATAGACCCTATTACAAGGTATTTTCTAAATGACTTCTTCTTCATGATATGTGCAGTTTGCATGAAGATTTTTCCTCCCGATGGTTGCACGAGTGGTGAGGTTGAAAGATGCGGCACTCACGGTGACGTATCAATGTTCATAATTTGGCAGAAATTGGAAGTTATCGATGTGTGTGGTTTAGTCAAGAGACTGAGATTGTGAGTCGAGGTATGTTTGGGAGTTAGTCGCAATTCAGATAGGTTAAGGTAGATTATGGTAGGGTAAGTTAGAGTACATTAAGTAGCATGGGGTTAATGTGTATAAGGTTAGGTTAAATTGGGGTAAGTTGGTTGAAGATGGGTTGTTATGTTGTCGTATTTCGGATCTTAACGTCTAGGATGGGATTACATCGGTCTTCTTGGACGTGCCAGTAGTACACCGTGTTGAATATCTGGGAGTGGTTGGAGGATGTGTCGTGGGAGAATGTGGTTTATGTGTTGTTGTTTTTTTGCCAAAATGCCGGGTCGCTGGGAGGTTTGTACAGCTGGGGGTTTCTTACCCTTTGTGCCGGTGGTTGGGGGTTTGTGGTAAGTTAGCCTGGGGAGTGATTTTGGTAAGGCGTGCTACGATGTCACTTAGGAGGTTTTCCAGCATCAGTTCAAACGATGTGTTTCTAGCAATGGTAGTTGTGTTAGGGCGGATGTCATTCTCTGTAGATGTCGATGGGGTGTGTTGACTCAGCTTCAGGGATGGGTTCGTTTACTTGTGTAAAAAATTTAGTTAGGAGTCGGTCCAGCGTCTTTTCTAGTGCATTTTCAATGCGAGTGACAAGATTTTCAACAAGATCAGAACTCAATTGTACGTTTTATGAGAGAGAGTTGGACTCTGAGGGTGCAGGATTGTCAGTGACAGACACATCAGGTACAAGCAAAGGGTTTGGTTGAGTGTGAGGTTGCAGTTGATGATGAACTGAGTTAGGTTGTATCACTGCACTACTGTGTTGCAGGTTGTTGGTGGGGAGAACCTAAGTTCTTGCTGCTATGTATGAAGGACATGGTTTGAATGTAATGTCATGATCGCCACCACAGGTTGAGCAGGTGAGTATATTTGATGCACATTCTTGTGTGTAATGGGAACCAGAGCATTTCCCACATTTAATGTCTTTGGTGCAAATTTTCGAGGTATGGTTAAAAACCTTTACATCTGAAGCACTGAGTGGGACGTGATACATACAACTCTAGTTTATGGAGGAAGCCGTTAATCCAAACCAGATTAGGGGGAAAGTAGTCTAGAAACGTAAGCAGGTCAGTGCCTATATCACTCAGTTCTCCGTTTGTTCAACGCATACATTTTTTGACTCCGAAGACTAGGTTGTCATGTGCCTGAAGCCTGCATCATCTGCCTTGATGTCGTCTGCAATAATGTCTACAACATGTCGGATTACATATTTTGCTAATCGGTCACCTAGTGGTTGGTAGCATCTGACTTTATATCCACAGATGTCAGTAACGTCTGAAAATTCTAGCTCCTCGCTGTGTTAGTGGTCCACTGCGATTAAGTTCCTTTGTTTATTAGGTCTAATATCGTGCACTTTGATCTTAAATATTTTGGGAATAGCATTATATAGGATACTTTGTGCCCTGCTATTTCCGAAAACACTCCTATCTTCGTCATCAAAGGGAATAATGAAAGTCTGCAAACAAAGAGAACCTGTCCTACATTGGTTGAGTGGTGGATGTTGATATTCAGGCCGCGTGAGGTCGGGATGGTCTCGTTTACCTCTCTACGATGGCAGCGTTGCGCTCTACTCTGTTTGCCTTACCGTGATGTTTACTGTCCTGGAAAACTCCCTCTGGATCCTCCTCTAAAACCGGGTGACGATCATGATCCAAATGTGTGCCATGTAGCAGTGGTTTCTTAAAACCCTCAAAGGTATCGTGAATATTTATAGGAAAGACGCTGTGCGCACCTCCAGTCGTCGCCATGTCGGTCGTCGGAGGGTGTGACCGTCCTCTCTCTTTGTAAATTACACAATTAACACTACGAGGACTCTTTCTAACTAATAGTTTTCCAACAGTGTTTTCGTAATTAAACAATACATGTACCTGTATATCAAAAAGTTTCAAGGCCTTGACAAGATTTTCGAACCCAGAAAAATTACGTTTAATTACGAAAACACTGATGGAAAACTATGAGTGTTTCAGGCGAAGGACAGTACACAAAGACACTACTGTTCTCGGCAGCAGAATGTCACTGGGAAATGGGACTGGTGCAAATAATTTTAACAACTTACCTTAAAAAATAAATAGTACTGTATACAGTTAATTTCAAATGAAGACTTTGTGTAGTATATATTAGTTCCCTGGGTCACTCGGAGAAGCTAATTAAATTACACAACCAGCAGCCAAATTTCCTCAGACTACACAGTAGTAATAAAATTTGACCCAATAATATTATTGCTTCGAACTTCTTGCGTTTGCATCAGAGATGAATTCAGACGTTTCTCTAGCAGACGTGCTCTCAATGTCCTCTGCTGATCTCTTTAAATCCACGACTTCTTGACCTGGCTGATTTGTGTGTTCGAGCTGCCCCTTGTCAGCACAACACCCGCAGAAGCGTTGTGAGAGGTAGTAGATAATATACGCAAGAAGTAGGGGCGGCCCAGCCAGCAGGATAGTAGAAAAGATGGGAACAGAAGCAAGGTCACTGTAAATAGAAAACAAATATTTTAATCTGAATAAAAAAAAGTAAAGACCAAACAAGGAGGATGTTGATCCGGACAATTTCTTCAAAAGGTCTGATGTAACACGAACGAGGAACAATGGTTTCAAGCTCATTAAGCCACAATGTAGGACTAAGAACAAGAGATGCTTTTTCACCCACAGGGATATGAACCCATGGAACCACCTACCCGCCGAAGCCGTAAATGCCCAAACTCTGTTGGGTTTCAAAATACAGCTGGAAAAGATAATCAGGGCAAATGGGGGTGGGGGTACCTTTAACAAGCCGCCGGCTTCCTGTCCTCGACGAGGCCACTAGTATTGGTGTCCCTCAGGTAAATTCAGGTAATTTTGGGGAAATTTAAGGGATAAGTATTTGTCTTAAAAGCAAGTAAAAGAAAAAACACAGTGGTCCTCCAACAAATTTACTCATATGTTGTTAAATATGACCGAAAAAGTAAGATTAATAATTCTAACACGAATTTTCTCAATATTTCTTATGTTTCTTTTTACTGTCAATGGTAATTGAAAAATCAATTCTCCAAAAATCATTTTTATTTCTAGTCTGACGCGACGCTTGAACGCGTCAGAGTACATATGTTTACAAGAAAGACTGCTACCAAAATATACAAATTTACTCAGTAAACATATTAAGCTTAAGAATTGTCAAAAGTAACATGAAGGGTGGCCGCTCTAATCCCAATTTTAAAAAACGGAGAGAGGTTTAAAGCTTTTAATTGCCGTTAAATCTGCGGAGTCCAATGGTAGCAAACTGATAGCGGGAGTATTCTACAGAGTAAACACCTCTGCCAACTTATATTGTAGTTATTTGTTGATATAAAATCTTGCTACAATGTACCTTTTCATCTTACCTGATATGTTAGATTAAGGACCTGCCCGAAACGCTATGCGTTTTAGTGGCTTTGCAAGAATGTACAAATATCAGTCTCACCAACCCATTGTACCTTCTTGTGAGTAAATTATTATTATTATTATTATTATTATTATTATTATTATTATTATTATAATAGACACGGCAACTGTAGAGGAAGTTGATGATCAATGCAGCAGCGGAAACTCAAGCCCTTATAATGGGGACTTCAATCACGAGAGTGTTTGATTGACTGATAAAGATTAAGCCACCCCAAGAGGTGGCACGGGCATGAGTAGTCCGTAATTTCAATCACGAGACAATAGATCAGGTGAATCTAACATCACAAGCAAATGAACAACAATTTCTTGACCTGGTACAGGACTCCTTTCTTATAACATGCCCACTCGAGGTAACAGCACTGTAGATATTGTGCTAACTTCTGAGGAGAGCATGATCGATCAAATACAGAGGAAAACTCGCCCCTTCTTGAGATCACAATATTTTAAGATGGAAGTTTCTACAGTTATAGAAAGCCTTGTAAAGATCCAGGATGATGAATATCTAGACTACCCTTGAGGAGACTCTCAAGGAATGAGAGAGGACTTGCAAAATACCTCCTGGAGAAAGTTAGTAGGAGATCAAGGCATGGAAGAATCCTAGGAATACTTCAAAAAGATCAACACTGAATTTATTTACAAATAAATACCAATAAAAAGAAGATGAAAAAACTAGATGGATGACACAGGTAGTAAAAAGAGCTATAATAAATAAACACAACCTCTGGAGTATATCAGTTCTCAAAGAACCACATAGACTATGAGATATACACAAGGGCCTTAAATTTAGCCGCCTAGGAAATCAGATCAGCCAAAAAACTATGATCCATGGGTTTACCCCTTATTCAAATTCAAAAAATTCAAAAATTTGTCTATTTTTCAACTTCATTTTTTTATAGTGTAACTTTAGAAATTTACTATAGTGTAATTACTTTAGTAAAGTAAACTATTGATCTATATTGGTCACCTAAAGTAAAGTAAATTTGATTTATATTGATCATCTATTGGAATTAATTAATTTGGTTCTTTCTTCTTAATTAATTTGAATTAATTAATGAATTAATTAATTTGGTAATTTGGTTCGTTCTTATATGTGAAAGCATCTGTTTTCTGTCCTACACTGTGGCTTGTTGAGCTCGAAACCGTTGTTCCTTGTTTAAATACATCTGACATTTTGAAGAAGTGGTCCAGATCAACATCCTCCAAATTGTTCAGTATTTTAACAGTTTCAATGAGAGCTGTCCTGTCATGCCTGGTTTGCAGTGTTGTTAGCCCTGTGGCCCTCAATCGTTCCTGATACGAGAGTTGACTTAGTTCTGGAATGATTTTTGTTGCCCGGTGATCGCCTTTCTATAAAGCAGCTATGTCTTTTTAAAGGTGAGGTTTACATGCTTGGTACAGTAATCCAAGTGATTACTATAAAAAAAATAGCACCATGGATTTATACAGTTGAATAACTACTTCTTTTCCTTAAGTTTGGAGAGAGTGGATCTGCAGATTGGAACTGGAGGTTTTGGCTGGGCACCTCGTTGTATACATAATCATTCCCAGTTTTCTTTTATGAATATTAAATACTTAACGTCATTAACATTTTGCTGAGCGTATTAATCTCCTTTCTCTTATCTCTGGACTGCAGGCAGTCATAGTGTTTTATTCGGTGTATGGTAGATTAGGGGCTAAGGTGTACGGGAGATCAGTACTGCTTTAGGCTAACAGTTCCATGACAGCTGCATCCTAGGGAAGGTCAATAGTTGGCCTGGGGAGGGGGGGGGGAGGAATTGGACCTTGATAAGCCTAAAGTACAGGTTTCCTAATTTCCTTGACAGTGGAAATTATTATATCATGATAAAGAAAAACTACAACTTTTACAGTAAAAGGGTAATTTGCGGTACCTGTAGGGGCTCGGGAGGGAGAACTTGAGGACCATCAAGGCCACAGCACCGTTCTGGAAGGCTGTCTCGATACTGACTGCGATAATTTGCTTCCTGGGAAGGCACATGATCGTGGCGAGGGTGGCACCGAAGGAGTAGCCGCAGATCAGCACCATCAGGCTAGCTACCACCATCTGCCACGTCATCAGCACCATCACTTTGTAAGAGTTGAACGTTCCCACCTGCACCACACATGTAGGTAAGAAACATCTGAGGCCAACTGCCACACTAAACATTGATTTTGTATTCACCAAACATCACGCCAATGTGATATATCAGATATATTTATCATATATACACGTCACTTATTAAATATGCCAGCTATATATTTTTTCGAAGGCTTTCGGCGCCGTGGAGAGGGGGACCTGCTGAATGGGTGACAGCTTTTCTCCCATATCACCCTATCCTGGCTATGCGCTCTGGAGAGGCCACTCCAGACCGGCAACCAGAGAGCAACTCCATAGTCTCCTGAGACGGATGGATGCCTACTATCTGTAAACCAAAAGTAATGGCATCATGAAAATATTTGTACTCACCGTAATGAAGAAGAAGAGAACCATGAGAGTGAAAGGCTTGATAATCTTGCTACCTTTCTCTGCCCAGCTCCGTCGCTTCCACCTAAAATGAATCTTAGTTAAATCTACACATGTTGCACTGAACCTCTTAAGGATGAGAAATATTAAGTTTTCGTTTTCTTCCTAAATATTTTAACAATTATTCTTAAGCATGTATTTATTATTAACATTCCTCATCTTTAAAAATAAATTGTCACTTGCTTTATTTGTTTTAATATATAAAAACTCTAACCCTGATAATATATATTTGTATATATATTATCTCTCTCTCTCTCTCTCTCTCTCTCTCTCTCTCTCTCTCTCTCTCTCTCTCTCTCTCTCTCTCTCTCTCTCTCTCTCTCTCTGTCCTCTTAAAAATAACGTCGCTTTTGGCCGTTTGCCCGTATGGCCGAAAGTGGACGTAATTTGAAAATGAAAAAAAAATGAAAATAAATTTGGGATTTTTTTTTCAACAACAGTAAGTTAAGGGTCCTCTGATTAGTTAGATGGGCAGGAAATTCTCATAAAGTTTCAAAACGTTATGAAAAACGTTAAGTGAAAGTTTCCTCTTCTAACCTTACCGAGTAGGTCGGACGACTCAAACAGAAAATGGAACAGTACGTCACTTTTGTGAGTCGTACGAGAACCAGGGGGCCTCTCACCTGTTCTTCACCATTCGTGTAATGATCACCTCAATGATACTCTGATAATATTAAATGACTCTGAGAAGGTAATTTGACAACTGAATCATGCAATAAAACAGGGGATTAACAAGCGATTGAAAGACCAGCCTACTAGTGTACAAGATAGGATTACAATTAATACTCATATACTTAATATATACAGTATATGTTTTATACATAAAACATCTATAATATTTATATAGATGTTTTATATATAGCAAACATCTTACCTATATAATTCCTAATTAGGCAAAATAATCTTAATGTTTATTGGTATTGGAACATAGGATCAGCATTCATAAGTTACAGATACAGTCTCCGTGGTGTAGTGGTAAGACACTCGCCTGGCGTTCCGCGAGCGCTTTGTCATGGGTTCGTATCTTGGCCGGGGAGGATTTACTGGGCACAAATCTTTAACTGTAGCCTCTGTTTAACGTAACAGTAAAATGTGTACTTGGTTGTAACAACGATTCTTCGCGGCGGGGATCGTATTCCAGGGACCGAAACGCTACGCGTACTAGTGGCTGTACAAGAATGTAACAACTCTTGTACATATCTCAAAAAAAAGAAATACTGCAGTCGTCTATGGTCCATCCATTAAAAAGAATGCTCTTTAGCATCTATGACACAAGCGCATACTCTTCTATCCCTCCTCTGCCCATATTACACTGCTCTTACACTCACTTCCCGAGGCGCAGGTCTTACAATGGCACGCACCTCTCGCCCCAGACCCGATTTCAAGATCAAGATCGTATACCCTGAGCCTACCAACCAGTCACAGATCATTGGCTCCAGGCATCATAAGAGATGGGTGTTACCTGATCTTCTTTATTAACCTTTAAATAATGAGGGAGCGGTTCCCTCTTTTTGAATGGTCCAATACTTCTTACTCCTATGCTTACTGCCTAAGAAGCAGACTGGTTCAGCAGCCCTCTCGTGGTCTATTAGGTATAAGGCTCCTTCCAACAGATAAGTAGGCTCTCCATAACCATTTGTACTCTGAAAAATGTAGGGGGGTCCATAACTGCAGAAATAGAAATAACTGCAGAAAAAGAGACACGCCTTCTTGCAGCCCCGGGAGAAGCCTTCCTGCATCCACAGAAACCCAAGAAGAGGCCTCCCTGCATCCCCGGAAACCCCCAGGAGAGGCCTTCCTGCATCCACAGAAACCCAAGGAAATGCCTCCCTGTACCCCCAGAAGCCCGAGAAGTCATACAAAACATGCAGACACCTGGAGGTGGAGTACCTCACCTGGTGGCGGAGTACCTGATCAACATGCCGATGACGATGGGGACGGTGAGGCTGACGAGCGCCAGGACCAGGTTTGAAAATGGTATGTGTAGGTGGGTGTGCTCCTCCGTCAGGTTCTCCCCCAGCGTGAACATCCACAACGGCATCATCCCTGAACCAGACACACAAACATGAGGAGTTTGCCATCTGCCTTCACATTCAGGGACATTGTGTGGTAGGTGTTATACTGCCTGTTATTCAAATTTATTAATGAGGGATGTCTACATTTAGACATCAAAATTTAGACATCAACAGATGTCAAAATCTCTACATTTTTCTTCATTAACGTTTGCTGGTACAATTTAATAATGAGGTTTAACCACCATCAGTAGTGTGCCAGCATGTCACCTTTTTTGTATTAGTTTAAAAGAATTAGCTAATTATCATTTGAATTTAAGCATGCAAGAATCATTTAGGTTTCTTTGGAAAAGTAATTAATTAGGGTAAAAGAATCTCCCAGCTAAACAAGTAATATTAAACAAATTTTAACAATTACCTCACAACTGTGAGAAATATTTCCTCACGGTACATATAATTCAAGATAATAAGCTCCACACAATAAATAAATATTACAGTTTTCTCCATATAATACATATATATTAACCCAGTTCACCGAGCAAGCTGGCAGAGTTGGTTGAAACACAATAGCAAAGGGCTGAACTTCACCTTAATATAATTAACTACTAATTAATATCCTTAAGGGCAAATCTCATTATTCATCAGTGAGCAGACACAGACTTGCGACCACAGACAGGCAGACTTACTCCTCTCAGAAAAAGGTCCTTAACCTAACAGATAAAAGTAAAGAGTGTTAATAGGTTAATAGGTTCAGGGATGATGCCGTTGTGGATGTTCACGCTGGGGGAGAACCTGACGGAGGAGCACACCCACCTACACATACCCTTTACAAACCTGGTCCTGGCGCTCGTCAGCCTCACCGCCCCCATCGTCATCGGCATGTTGATCAGGTACTCCTCCACCAGGTGAGGTACTCCAACTCCAGGTGTCTGCATGATGTTTGTATGACTTCTCGGGCTTCTGGGGGTACAGGGAGGCATTTCCTTGGGTTTCTGTGGATGCAGGAAGGCCTCTCTTGGGGTTTCTGTGGATGCAGGAAGGCCTCTCTTGGGGTTTCTGTAGATGCAGGAAGGCCTCTCTTGGGGTTTCTGTAGATGCAGGAAGGCCTCTCTTGGGGTTTCTGTGGATGCAGGAAGGCCTCTCTTGGGGTTTCTCTGGATGCAGGAAGGCCTCTCTTGGGGTTTCTCTGGATGCAGGAAGGTCTCTCCTGGGGTTTCTGTGGATGTAGGAAGGCCTCTCTTGGGGTTTCTCTGGATGCAGGAAGGCCTCTCTTGGGGTTTCTCTGGATGCAGGAAGGCCTCTCCTGGGGTTTCTGTGGATGTAGGAAGGCCTCTCTTGGGGTTTCTGTGGATGCAGGAAGGCCTCTCTTGGGGTTTCTCTGGATGCAGGAAGGTCTCTCCTGGGGTTTCTGTGGATGTAGGAAGGCCTCTCTTGGGGTTTCTCTGGATGCAGGAAGGCCTCTCTTGGGGTTTCTCTGGATGCAGGAAGGCCTCTCTTGGGGTTTCTCTGGATGCAGGAAGGTCTCTCCTGGGGTTTCTCTGGATGCAGGAAGGTCTCTCCTGGGGTTTCTGTAGATGCAGGAAGGCCTCTCCTGGGGTTTCTGTAGATGCAGGAAGGCCTCTCTTGGGGTTTCTCTGGATGCAGGAAGGTCTCTCCTGGGGTTTCTGTAGATGCAGGAAGGCCTCTCCTGGGGTTTCTGTCGATGTAGGAAGGTCTCTCCTGGGGTTTCTGTAGATGCAGGAAGGCCTCTCCTGGGGTTTCTGTAGATGCAGGAAGGCCTCTCCTGGGGTTTCTGTAGATGCAGGAAGGCCTCTCCTGGGGTTTCTGTAGATGCAGGAAGGCCTCTCCTGGGGTTCCTGTAGATGCAGGAAGGTCTCTCCTGGGGTTTCTGTCGATGTAGGAAGGCCTCTAGGAGGGTTTCTGGGGTTGCAGGAAGTCCTGTATCCATTTTTGCAGTTATGGACCACTAGTTTTTTCAGAACACAAATGGCTATGGAGAGCCCACTTATCTGTTGGAAGGAGCTAGCCTTACTAGCTAGCTAGCCTAGTAGACCACATGGGGGTGCTGAACCAGTCTGCTTTAAGCTCGCACTGTATCCAGTGCCACCCACTCCCCCAATATGTGGGTAGCGTTTGCCCGAAACGCTATGTGTACTAGTGGCTTTAGGTATTGGATGTACTAGCTCTTTCTTTAAATCCAACATTATGTTTGTAACTTACCTGCAATGTATGTACCTTTACCTGAATAAAGAATCTGAATATATGTACCTAAGCCATACGACGTCACCATTGTAATCACTGCTATCATCTTACATCATGGTTGTTATATTAAAGGCATATTTTACTGCATTATATCTTGAAATAATCCTCAAATTATGCTACAATGTACCTGTTGATAACCCTTAAATTTCATTTTAATATACATACTAATCTTTGTCAAATTTTTTTGCAAAGTACGTGTTAAAAAAATGATTTTGTTAGAAATTACCAACTTAAAATTATCTGTTAGATTAAGGCCCTGCCCGAAACACTATGCGTGTTAGTGGAGTCTTTACAAGAATGTAAAATCATCAATGCTTTGTACTCTCATAAACCCAATGTAACTTCTTGTATATTTATAAATATAAATAAATAAATAACAAACTCTGTCTTCAGACAACACACAGACCCTCCGTTTGAATTCCTAAACATGCTGAATCTAACTAATGCTAACTACTAATGCTAGATCATGCTAATCTAACAGATAATTTTAAGTAGGTAATTTCTAGCAAAACTGAGAAATGTTTACAGGTACATTGTAATAAAATTTGACGAAGATTAGTAGATACATTATAGAAAAATTTGAGAATTATCAACAGGTACAACGTAGCATAATTTGAGGATTATTTCTAGATATAATGTAGTCAAATATGCGTTCAATATAACAACCATGATATACGATGATAGCAATGATTACAATGGTGAAGTTGAATGGCTTAGGCACATATATTGGGGGATTGAGTAGCACAAGATACAGTGCGAGTTTAAGGCACTAGGTAGGAAACTATGAGGATGAAATAAGGTACTCTTTGGTTTTATTTTTGAATAAGGCGTAGGTCTGACAGCTTTTCTATTCGTTAGTGAGTGAGTTCCATACACTAGGTCCCTTTATTTGCCTAGTGTGTTTACACAGATTTAGTTTGACTCTGGGGATATCAAGGAGATATTTATTTCTTGTGTGGTGATTATGGGTTCTATTACATCTGTCAAGGAAGAGTTTCAGATCAGGATCTGAATTTAAGAACAGGGTTTTGTAAATGTAAATGACACAAGAGAACATGTGGAGTGAGTTTATGTTTATCATGTTTAGGGATTTAAACAGGGGGAGGGAACTGAGTGTTGTCTGAAAACAGAGTTTGTTATTGTTCTGATAGCAGATTTTGCTGGGTGATGATGGGCTTGAGGTAGTTTGCAGTGGTTGAACCCCATGCACAGATACCGTATGTAAGATAGGGATAGATTAGCACATAGTATAATGAGCAGAGACCAGAGTTAGAAACATAATATCTGATTTTAGAAAGTATACCAACTGTTTTTGATACTCTCTTGGTTATGTGGTGTATGTGGGTGCTGAAATCTCTTGTCTATGTATAGGTCAAGGAACTTTCCATCATTTGTATTGCTATTGTTAACATTGTCTATCTGAAGCTGAATGGCATTTATTAATCTGCTTCCAAATAAGATGTAGTAGGTCTTTTCTATGTTTAGTGTAAGTTTGTTGGTTGACAAACCAACCAATTTGGTTGATAAGTGGACCTTTTTTAATTCGTTATTTACATTATTTAGTGTGTGTGTGTGTGTGGGTTGGGGTCTGAGTAGATGAGGGTAGTATGGTCAGCAAATAATATAGGTTTAAGAATGTTAGAGACATTAGGCAGATAATTGATGTATTTAAGAAATAGGAGAGGTCCTAGGATGCTGCCTCGTGGAACTCCTACGGTTAGTGGTAAAGTGGGAGAGGTTATATCATTGATTGTTACAAATTGGTGTCTGTCACTAAGATAGGATCGAATAGGTCAGGGCAAGGCCTCGGATTCCATAATGGTGGAGTTTAAGTATGAGGTAGTTATAGTTAATAGCATGAAAGCCCTTTGTTAGGTCAATGAAGAATCCAATCGGAAACTCATTTTTGTCAAGGCCTGTGTAGATTATATCAAGCAGATTAATAATGGCATCGTTGGTACTCTTTTGGGATCAGAAGCCAAACTATAGTTCTGATAGCAGAGTTATCGTTCTATACTCTATTTTTGACACTACGTATTGTTCACTGTTACTGTGTTTCAATGGCCATGTGTCTTGTTAGTCTAAACAGAATATAGACCACCTAAGTTCCTGTTCTCTGGTCCTTTAATTATAAACGCTTTAAAGAATTGAAGACGAGCGGCAATATATTAGTACGATTGCTCTGTCCTTGGTGCAAAAGATTATATACACTAACCCAGGGCAGCGACCAAAGAGATAATGGTCATAGTGATGGAGAGGTTGATGTCCCCGTCGAACATGAGGGTCCAGAAGTTGGAGGAGGTGCCGCCGGGACTGCAGCCTAGCGTGAAGAGTCCCAGACGCTGCAGCGGGTCCGTGAACAACACATTCCCCATCATATATGTCACCTACAAAACAAAAACATCTATATTTATGTTGTGTATAAAATATAAACTTATAATTTTAGCAATGTGACATTTTCAGGAGTACACACTATGTACTAAAGTCACAGGTATACTAGGATTACATGCTGTTGTTGTTTTAGATTCAGCTACTCAGAACAAAAAGTAGCAAGTAATACGGGCTATGGTGAGCCCGTAGTGGACTTATCTAGCACAGGAGCTGGGTTGTCATTGGGTTTACATTCAGAAACCCAGACATTTATAAATGTGGGTTTACCTCATCCTATGATTCACCTAGCCTACTTAATCGTAGGGTGCGTCGATGAATGGGGTGAGGTAATTGTTGCCTAGGTTTTTTTTTTTTTTTTTAAAGATATATACAAGAGTTGTTACATTCTTGTACAGCCACCAGTACGCGTAGCGTTTCGGGCAGGTCCCTGGAATACGATCCCCGCCGCGAAGAAGCGTTGTTACAACCAAGTACACATTTTACTGTTGCGTTAAACAGAGGCTGCAGTTAAGGATTTGCGCCCAGTAAATCCTCCCCGGCCAGGATACGAACCCATGACAATTGACTCATGAACCCATGATAGCTATATCAGTTATCTCCTGGGTCTGTTAACGGGTTCACAATAGCCCGTGCTACATGAACATTTCGTTCTGAGTAGCTAAATCTAAAACAACAACAACCATCCTGGGTCTGTTATCTTTCCTCGGGATCATTGGTGGCCCATCAAATAACTGTATGCTCGAAGTCGAATTCACCTGAATGTTGACTACTGGTGTCAGCTCTGGAATGAACGAAGCATCAAGTATACAGAGCTTCCTACGTACATGTGATTATTGTGGTGTCCTTCAGTATGTCCTGGCGATTCAGGATGGTGTTGTGAGTGATGTTGTTTAATGCCTTCTTCTTGCAAATAAAGTGTAAAACGTCTACTCAGAGTATTCGTGGTATGTCCAAGATAGCATACATTTCGGAGCACACAGTCTCCAGAATTGCTCTTGCATTGATATATTACTTTAGTACTGCTCAGTTTGTCATTGGAGGCAAAAATGTTATTTCTCATAATAAGGGTCGCTGTAGGAAGGTTGTTATAATAAATGATAGGACGAATCCTTGCATTTTCACTGCATGGTTTACAATTCCTGTCAATTATATCCCATATAGCCTTTTCATCCTTCTTAAAGGCCTGAGTAAATGTATTTTTATAATACACTACAATGTCTTCCCTCAGGGCCCGAGTATCCTCTCATAGGGGCCGATTATTCCCAGTCAAGTGGCGACTTAACTTCGTACTAATGATTTAGTTGAATTCTCTATTACTGTATTCGTTATTCACAATAACTTGGCGGATTTGTTCAAGTTCACTGTGCCAGAGCTGCCATAAAAGCATGTACGTATTGCACGATCTACATATGCACTAAGGACGCTTGTTTTTAGATCTGTCAATGCATTCCCAACCACTTTGACAGGGCGGTAGAGCGACGGTTTCGCGTCATGCAGATCGATTGATTGATTGATAAAGATTAAGCCACCCGTAGAGGTGGCACGGACATGAATAGCCCGTAAGTGGAGGCTGTTTGAAGCCATTACCAGTATCAGTAGCTGATACTGTAGATCTGTGGATGAATGAGGTCTGGAAAATGGGACAGTCGGAAGTATAGTCTGGAGAGGAAGCCTCGGCCTCGCAGAGAGTAGAGCCAGGGCTCAACCCAGCAAGGGCGAGGATTTTTGGACAGATAGCAGAATCAATTACACCACAAAGAGCACTGGGAGTGCCAAGAGGGCCGAGTAGCAGCCAGAAGTTCTTGTTTGATATTTAGTTACAGCATCACTATCTCAGTGGGCCCTCAGGGCTCTTATTTTTTCTTGTTCTTCGGTTTCTTGTTTTGGCTTCGTGTATGTACATGGGTGTCCATAGACGACAGTGTAAGGTATCGTGGGAGACCCTCGATGATATTCCGCGTTAAGTCGATGTTGATCACCTGGTCATTTCTGAAAGCGGTGTATCGACCTGTGGTTGTGTCCAAAATGCCAATTGCATCGTGACCCCTCAAACATGGGCGCTCGTACCCGATGAGACGTCGAGACTGCACCTTTGGTGCCATACTCATCTGCGCCGGAGAGATCCTCATTGTTCACATGCTCGCCTGAAGATGCGTAGTCCTCTTCGTCCTGTGTCGCCAGTATTCCTGCTTTCTTTATGTTGTGTAGCGTTTTTAGTGTCGTCTGGGTACCCGTAGTTGTCATCTGTGGAGCGTTCGTCTAGGTGTCCGCAGTTGTCGTCAGCCGTGGTACTTCGGTCTGGGTGGCTGCAATTCCATATTCAGTCACTGGTGCCTGTACAGGCGCAATGCTATTTGTTTCCAGAAGCCCGTTCACTGTTCTGAGGAACAAGGAATCTTGTTTCGCAACTCTGTCCGCTAAGGCAATGATGACCTAGATGTTCTGGATGGATGTCGGCGTCTCTGGTTTTGGTGGGGACTGGGGTCAGCAGCTTGTTTGGGGGTCCAATCCATATGGTCGTAGTCTGCATCTGGCTATAGAAGGGAGGCTCGGGAATTGGTCAGGTCTAAGGTCTAAGGTTCTTCTCTTAGTTGCAAGTTTTGCAGCTTCGCCTGCAATGTCATTTCCTAATATTCCCACACGACTTGGCACCCAGTTGATAAGTACCCGACGGGTTTGACGTTTGAGTGTTTGCATTAATGATATGACATTTGTGATCAGATGGATGCTGTCACAGTATTTGTTCTTGTTGCAAGATTTCAATGGCAATTCTCGAATCTGTATGTATGATAACATGTTGTCGGTGTTCAGCAAGCGCATGTTCCAAACCCTTCTGAATGACTCGCATCCCTATTTGTAAACTTGAACACCCGTCTGAGAATCTCCAACTAACTACAGAATTTCCTGCCTTAACTGCAGCTCCGGTTTACCTTCTGACACAGCCCGGACCAACCGGGCTGTGGTGGGTATGTGGGCCTGCGGGCCGCTCCAAGCAACAGCCTGGTGGACCAAACTCTCACAAGTCAAGCCTGGCCTCGGGCCGGGCTTGGGGAGTAGAAGAACTCCCAGAACCCCATCAACCAGGTATCAACCAGGTTTCTTGTTGCTAACGCGAGAACATATATACCGCAAAAATTTAGTTTTTTGTGAAGGTAAACCATGATACATGCACTCACCAGGGGCATGCAGGTGAATTGGGAGATAAAGCCACACACGGGACCGACGGGTCGCCTCAGAACACCCATGATGACCTTCAGATCCAGCTGGGCGCCCATGTTGATGTTGTTGAAGAGCACGAAGACGGTCCCAAAGGACATGAAGAGGATATCGACCGTCTGTGTCTTGCGGTCCACTGTTATCTTCGGGGGAGACAGCCACACAAGAGGTGCGGGAGGTAAAATTTATAAGAGTATGCATATGATAAGTGATGATAATATTAATTATTAATAAATTATTAGTTATTAATAAATTAATAATTATAAATTAATGACTATTAATTAATGATAATTTATTAATAATCATTATTTATTAAATTAATTGATAATTATTTAATTATAATTATTAATAATAATAATAGTTTTACAATTTAGTTTATATTTATTTGACTTAGGAAATATTTAAGTAAATATTTAAATACTTTGGAGGGGGTGAACATTTAGGACTCTTTAACTCGACGTTTGGTTCAACTGACAGCACTAGTTGTGCTTACCAAAAATGGCCCACTAGATACAGTACTTAGAATAGTCGCTGAAGCTTCAGCGTTCAAGCAAGCGTTTAGCGTTCGGCATCTCACACATTTAAAGGTTGAGAATAAGCTTGAGAGTTTAGCAATCGTGCCTGACAAACTCCCCATTTTCCAGCAGACACTTGAATTAAATATCTAAAACAATAATGAAATGTTGCATATATTCTGAACATATAAGGGTGGAGACTGGAGATCATTGTGAACAAGGACACTCAACGGTTACGCTCTGTCAATTATATTAACCGTTTTGTCTAAAAAATTACAAACTTAATTAAAGTAAAAAACAGATACAAAGAGCTTTCGTGCGGATGAACGTCGAGGAGACCAGGAACGACTTGGGATTCTTCTGCAGAATGGCATAGAGCTGAGGAAGATTTTTCGAGAATAGTATGAGGAAATATATTTGATTAGTGATAACATTATACCATTCCATGTGTAATGGAATGTGTCTCAGCTTGGCTTCCGTTCCCAAAAGCGTACCAATGATGCCATTATTAGTCTGCTTAATATAATCTACACAACAGCCCTGGACAAAAAATGAGTTCCCAATTGGCCTCTTCATTGACCTACTAAAGGCCTTTGATACTGTAAACCATAGCTACCTCTTACTTAAACTTCACCACTATGGTATCCAAGGCCTTGCTCTCGACTATAGAGTATGGCCTCTATAGCCAATCTGCTATAAGGCAGTACGAGCAACTCCAGTAAAAAGACAACAATCGACTTGAGAATGGTCCAGGACGGACCGAAACGTCGTCGTCCCTTCAATTTCTAGTGTGTGGTCTGGTCAACATACTTCAGCCACGTTATTGTGACTCATCGCCTGCAAAAAGACAACAAATCCTTCTCATCTACTTGGTAAAACGTACAAAAAATCCACTGTCGGAACCCCCCTAAAAAAAGGTCCACGCTTTGTATTACTGGATTACCTCAAATGATATGCAAAAACAAATGGTAACGAAACTAAGGACGCTAACCTAACCTGTGCAAGAAATCTTTAAAATTGATATAGATAATAGTTATGTTTACACGTTAGTTACAGTACTGAGGTAAAGACGTGTGTCCTTGATCAGTTATCTCTCGTATTTAACCTCAATGCTAGATAAGATTGGTAGCCTTTCGTGGGAGATGGATCCATCGCATCAATAAAAATAGCGAACCATGTAAAAAATATTTGACATTAATCTTAGATGACACAACATACGCACAACACTACACTGACCACAACATACAGTACAGCACATACACAACACTACACTGACCACAACATACAGTACAGCACATACACAACACTACACTGACCACAACATACAGTACAGCACATACACAACACTACACTGACCACAACATACAGTACAGCACATACACAACACTACACTGACCACAACATACAGTACAGCACATACACAACACTACACTGACCACAACATACACAACACTACACTGACCACAACATACAGTACAGCACATACACAACACTACACTGAGATGACACAGCGTACCAAATACGCACAACATTAAGATGATACAGTATATCAAATACAAAATGTAAATGTCAGCACTGTGGAGTAATGCCCGACAGACCACTGGAACATTATCTAACACAGTGCACAGTTACAAACCCATTAAGATTTCCACTTAGATTCAACAGAGCAGAAGTTGTTAAACACATATGGCAAAATCTTACTGAAGCGACCATACGAGTCATAAATACTCATACTCCGCCCAAGTAAAACAGAAACAAGCAACACTTAGTGGGCCAGCCAGAGGCTTAGGGCCCGCGCACGAATATCCCTGCAAAAAATGCTACACTGAGATGACTCACGTATTCTAGTGACTCCCAGATGCTAGCCTTAACCCACGCGGCCACAGTCCCATTTATATATCATTCCAGTGTGATTTCTTTGTGAATAATAATAATAGTGTCTTTTCATTCCTTTATTCTACTATATGAATTTCTATTCCTTTATACTACTATATGTGACAGTGTCAGACCACAGAGGAAGAATTTAAACAGGAATTTTCATAAGTACTTTCGTATTTAATAATACATCTTCAGAAGGGTCTGAATATATGCCGTTTGCCTTTCTATATGCCTTTTTATTCCTTTATTCTACTATATGCCTTTTTATTCCTTTATTCTACTATATGCCTTTTTAGTCTTCTATGTGCTTTTTCTAACAAAACTGAAATTTAGCTGCGCACCATGCAACTATCAATCAGTTTAAATGACGAGTCTGACTGTAATTAATGATCTTGATATTTTTCGTCATTCGGGTATTATTCAGGTAAGGTACATACATACAAGAGATTTTACAAAAATTGATAGATTTATAGATAGAGCTAGTACATACAATGCCTAAAGCCACTATTACGCAAAGGGTTTCGGGCAGGAAAAACATTAAAGACTAAAACTTAATACTAATTAATACTTATTTTTCATGTCATTATACGAGGAGTTAAAAACTAGGAAGCATACTTTCAAAGGAGTCTCTTAACTTAAGCTTAACGAGGTCTCCCTAATCAGAAACGAGGCTATCCACGCGGTTTCTCATCCAATTACTGACCACACCAAACTACATATGCTTACCCTTTCCCTAAGGAGAACAAACATGGGACAAAATTCAATTAAAATTTGAATTTGAAACACTTAGTATCCTTCAGTTATGTGACAATGTCTCGTTGTTGTTGTTGTTATTGTTTTAGATTCAGCTACTCAGAACAAGAAGTTCCAGTAGCACGGGCTATGGTGAGCCCGTAGTGGACTTACCTGGCACAGGAACGGTGCTGTGAATGCTCTGTTAGTGTGGCTTATTATATATGTCTGAAACGTTTTCTTGATAGGTGAAACAGAATTCAAGAGCACCACACCAGAAATAAATATCTCTTTAATATCCCCAGAGTCAAACTAAATCTGTGCAAACACTCCATGCAAATAAAAGGGCCCAGTCTTTGGAACTCACTCCCTGATGAATTAAAAAATTGTCAAACCTATGCCCGGTTCAAAAGTAAAACCAAAAAGTACCTAATTTCACCCACATAGTTTCCTACCTTGTGCTTCAAACTCTCACAGTATCTTGTAATACCCGAGTCCCCAATATTAGTACTTAAGACATATATCCGTACCATTGTAATCACCTTTGTCAACTTACGCTGTAGTTATTTGTTGATATAAAACCTTGATACAATGTACCTTTTCATTTTCCCTGATATGTTAAAGGACCTGACCGAAACGCTGTGCGTGTTAGTGGCTTTGCATAAATGTAAAAATACCAATCTTATGTAATCTCACCAACCCATTGCCCAGCCACTTGGGCTGGACAGTAGAGCGATGGTTTCCCTCCATGCCGGTCGGCGTTCAATCCCCGACCGTCCAAGTGGTTGGGCACCATTCCTTTCCCCCGTCTCATCCCAAATCCTTATCCTGACCCCTTCCAAGTGCTATATAGTCGTAATGGCTTGTCGCTTTCACCTGATGATTCCCTCCCTTCCCTCACCAACCCATTGTACCTTCGTGTAAATAAATTACTATTATTATTATTATTATTATTATTATTATTATTATTATATATTCACTTAAAATAAGAAAGTCACCTACCCTAAGATCGTCCCTCAGTAAGGTTGCATTAGTAAAGTAAGGGTCGAGGTCGTTGTGGGTGAGGAAGAAAGCCAGCTTGGTGAGTCCCCAGTAGTAGCCGGAGAAGGCCAGGCTCTTGTTGACTCTGGCACACACCTCCGCCACCCTGAACTGCACGCTCTTGTTTACTATGTCCAGCTTCCAGTCCTCGTCCAGCACCACCGTCACCTCCAGCCACGCCTCTGTCAGGTCCCGTCCATCACTGCACACGGCGTCACTGGCGTTGAACCCGAGAGACAGTGTGAGGTTGAGAGGCGTGTCCTCCGGGACCTTCCATACGCCGCTATGGAAGGTTTCCAGGTAAACATCGCTCTGGAAGGTCTCCAGGTGCCCGTTGCTCCATAAGGTTTCCGGGGACTTGTCGCCAATAGCGAATTTCGCACACCCCAACAACAATATCAACCATGGCAACATCTGGGAGTGTGCTGCAAGTCTAGCCAGTGACGGTAGTTCGACCGACACCCACCGTAATATTTAATTAGGCAATCGATCCCGTTACGTTATTAGGGAAATGTAAACTAGTTATTTCTGCAAATAATTTATATATTTCAGCATGAAGTAGCTATAGGGGACATTTTATATGGGTTTGCACTACGAGAAGATCACCAAGGTACTTTTTAACTAGTAATGTATTCGCAGCAAGATATGAGCTTAAAAATGTTCACAGGAAATACAAATCCTTGATGTTATGTGTGTAGAAACGTATCCCAGCGCTCACAGGCCGCACACGCTACTGATAGGCCGACCTTAAGTCACCGTAGCTCGAGATAAATTCTGTGATATGCACATTATCTCATCAGCCTTGCCAGCGCTCACCTTTACCAGCATCCCTCACACACTATCATCACACTAGTACACCTCGAGGGCCAGGGGGCGGCGAACTTACGCCCTTTAATGGTACTCGGTGAGGCATGCGAAAGCAAATTCAAATTCATGTAATATACTAGTTAAATCTTGAAGAATGAAGAATAGGATTATAATGCAACTCATTTGAAAACTTGCAATGTTTTAATAGCCAGACTTTAAACTTTAAGTACTATGCTAAAATACTCTTATTTATTTATTTATATATATACAAGAAGGTACATTGGGTTTGTGAGAATACATTGGATAGTACAGTATTTACATTCCTGTAAAGCCACTAGTACGCGCAGCGTTTCGGGCAGGTCCTTAATCTAACAGATAATTTTAAGTAGGTAATTTCTATCAGAATTGATAAATGATAAAGATACATTGCAAGAGAAAAATGAGATGAGAGAGCTTAGTAAATATATTAAAGCTCTGATTGATTACATTGACAGATTGATTAGTAATTTAAACAAGATTAATAGACACCAAACAGCAGATTGACAGCACATATAAGACATCAATGATCACAATGGTAAAGATGTTCAGATTGGGTACATAAAGATTGGGAGACTGGGTACTCTTCGATTTAGAAAATATTTATATTTCTCTTCTCTTTTTGCTATAATACAGTATATATACGGGTCCAGCCTGCGGCTACTGGGCGAACTCTTAACCCCGACGCCACTTTTAACGCCCCCGGACCCCACCTTTATCCAGAAATTATGCACATCTGTGCCAGGTAAGTCTGACGGGCTCACCATAGCCCGTGATGCTTGGACATTTTTGTTCCGAGTCGCTGAATCTAAAACAAGAACAAACAGAAATTACGAGCGGCCATTCGTCCAACACCACCACGCCAGCTAACAACACGTGCTACATATGTGCCCCATGATCTCCACACAGCTGAACACGGGTTTGTAAGAATCGGTGCTGTCCGCCGCCCTCTACAGTCACGATTGATTGATTGATTGATAAACATTAAGCCACCCAAAAGGTGGCACGGGTATGAATAGCCCGTAAGTGGTGGCCCTTTTGAGCCATTACCAGTATCAAGAGCTGATACTGGGGATCTGTGGAGGTGCGACTGCACCCTGCGTGACGGGAGATGTCTCCCATGTGACTCTACAGTCACCATATGAGGGACCATTTAAAGTGGTTTTCCTTCTTTCCTTCCGTCCCATCCTAAATCCTTATCCTGACCCCTTCCAAGTGCTATATAGTCGTAATGGCTTGGCGTTTTTCCTTGATACCACTTCCCTCGGACACCGAAGTTCTTCACCATCGAACGCTGAGGCCAGCAGGAAAACATCTCCATCGATTTCCTAAAACCAGCACACTGTAACGCTGCCCCGAATAGTCTTCCAGAAGTGCATCCGCCGACGTTGTTGTTGTTGTTATAGATTCAGCTACTCGGAACAGGTTCCAAGTAGCACGGGCTATGGTGAGCCCGTAACTTACCTGGCACAGGAGCGGGGCAAGTAGCACGGGCTATGGTAATAAATCCTCAGATCAAATTAATCTAAGAATAAACAATATCCAAATTAGTAACAAAGTAAAAAGGTAAATGTCTTTGTGTTCGCATTGATAACAAGCTAAATTTCAAGGGCCACATTCAAAATATAGCAAAAAAAATTCTAAAACTGTTGGCATTCGTTCTAAGATCAGATATTATGTACCTTGCCCTGCCCTGGTAACGCTCTATTACTATCTCATCTATCCTTATCTCAATTATGGTATTTGTGCTTGGGGTTCTACTACACAAAATCATCTACGTCCTCTAATTACTCAACACAAAGCTGCTATTAGGACAATATCCAACTCTGAGCCCAGACATCACTCGGTACCCCTACTCAAATCTCTGAATATGTTAGATATTAAGTCACAGCACATTCTCTCATGTGTATTATACATATATAAAACGCTGAACTCTAATGCCAATCCTGACCTCAAAAGCTTCATTGAAGGTTGTAACAGAACCCATGAGCACCACACCAGAAACAAATACAGTTTTGATATTCCAAGAGTACGACTTAATCAAACTAGAAATGCTCTACAAATCAAGGGACCCAGAATGTGGAATGACCTTCCCAACCATGTTAAAGACTACCTCTCTCAACCAGTTTAAGATAAAAACGAAGCCCTACCTAATAAATTCCCTGTAACCTACCTTACCCCTCTATTGTCAATTAACCCATGTCTGTTTTTTTAAACAACACTGTTTGTCGACCTAATTGTATTTGTGCTGCTTTTTCAGCCATGTTCCCCCCTTTTTTAGCTTTATTTTTATTTGTTCTCAACACATTTTATTCTTTATACTCAATTAGTATTAAGTTTTAGTCATTAATGTTTTTCCTGCCCGAAACGCTTTGCGTAATAGTGGCTTTAGGCATTGTATGTACTAGCTTTATCTATAAATCCATCAATTTTTGTAAAATCTCTTGTATGTACCTTACCTGAATAAACATGTTACCTGATATGTTAGATAAAGGATCTGCTCGAAACGCTATGCGTGTTAGTGGCTTTGCATGAATGTAAAAATGCCAATATTATGTAATCTCACAAACCCATTGTACCTTCTTGTAAATAAAATTATTATTATAATGATAAAAACATAACGTTTGTCATAGTCACCCCGAGCGAGGTTCGTCGCCTTTATTTACGTTACTCGACGTACGGATGTAAACATCTTAGGGGTCTCAAATCTCAGCAGCCCAACCCACTAGTATTTAGAAACGCGATAGAAAGAAATGGACCAGTATGGGGATAAAAATGGATATCTTGAGCTGTCACAAAATCCTATAAGATTTGAACCTGTCAGCAAAGTCACTAATGTATTTTTTGATGACACTAGTAAAGAGGTAAGAATGAAGAAAGCTGATGTCCCATGTACATTTATCCCATGTAAATTAAGCCCATGTTTCTTTTCGTGACTAATATACACCATCATTCTAGGTCTGGTCATTTCAGGTTATGCATATCAGTTTCTTAAATGTAGAGTACAGTAGGTTAGGTTAGGTTTGCCCTCTGTCCAGTAATATTCAGAACCAAACATCTGGCAGCCCTGGAAGTAATGTAACATGTCCTGTTATTTTATTTGTTTATTTATCTATATATGTATATACAAGAAGGTATATTGGATTTATGAGACTACATAGCATTGATGTTTTTACATTCTTGTAAAGCCATTAGTATGCATAGCATTTCAGGCAGGTTCTTAATCTAACAATGTTCTTAAATCTTACAATGTACCTGTAAACTTTTTTTTAATTTTGCTAGAAATTACCTTCTTAAATTAAAATTATATGTTAGATTAAGGATCTGCCCGAAATGCTATGCGTGCTAGTGGCTTTACAAGAATGTATAACTTCAACTCTCTGTACTCTAATAAACCCAATGTACCTACTTGTACAATGAATTAGTGAAGTGAATTAGCAGTGAATTAGCAAAAGCAATGCATGCAACAACATTATCACACACCAACCTATTTCCCATATTATATGGAAAGGGGCCCCTAAAATCCACCATCAGTAAAATTTAAAACATGATGCTCCTCAACATACTATGAAACCACAAAAAAAACAAAAAAAACATGGAACCATGGTGTAGCTTGAAAATACCCCAAGCACAGAAACATTGAAGTAGACATAACAAAGGCCAGACTAATGCTGGTACACATCAAACTAGCAGCACACAGCTATAAATACGGGACATGTAAAAGAATACATAGTAGATGGAGCAGACCTCTCATTGCATATAAAATAACAAGCATTCAAAGTGCTGAACAGGTAAATATCTCCAGTCCACTAACACTTTAGAATATTTGTTTGTGAAAAGTCATATTTTGGTGATTAAATGGTATATTCTTGCAAAGCCACTATTACATGCATAGTATTCTAGACAAATCTTAATGTTAACATAAAATTTGCAGTGAATTTTAAGTTGCAAAGTGAAATAGTCAATCTTGAACAGGAAATTAAAGTAGAGATAGGTATCTTGTAAAATTTTAGGAAAAAAAAGGGGGGTGTTTACCCTTGACAAGCCACTGGCTTCCTGTCCCCTGATGTGGCCACTAGACAGGTGATAGCCCTCAGGTAAATAATGAGAAAATCTGAGTTTACATAATTACTATATTAATAGAATAAGAAATATCTGGCCCATGCATGCAATTTTAATTAGCTTGACAACCAACCGTAGAAAAAGTATACCTATCAACAAAAACAATAAAAAGCAATCATTCGATACCATCAACACAACATTCAGCCATCTCTGATAAGTACTGTACAGTACTTATACCAAGTCTAACTCCAAAAAACAACCCTCAAGTCTAACTCTGAACACTCAGGTGCAACCATGACATCTCCCAATGTCACTTTCTTGTGTGGTCATCAAGAGTTGAAAACCTTCATGCAACCTGCACATATAATAAAAAAGATGAAAAGATTGAGTGATGCACATATAATTCATTGCACCACACCATTCATAATATTATGTTATCCTGTATTATAATAGTGTACGATATATAGTACTCGGTAATAGCAGCATTAACAAACTGGTTTTGGCTTACCATTGTTGGAGACAAAAAGCCTTATAGGCTTAGTGAGGTCCCCCTTCACTAATGACATAACCTTAACCCATAAAAGTCGACAAGCTTTCAGGTATCCATTTACTGCTAGGTGAACTGAGGCATCATGTGTAAGAAAACATGTCCCAACATTTTGTCCTGTCTAGGAATTGTACCTAGGACCTACCATCTATGTTGTCTGTGCCAACCGATACACAACTGTTAATTATGTTGCAAAAGCCAATTTAGATTTTATTGCTCATTTCTGTTTCCCTGTATATTTCATTAGAATGAAGTTGCTGGTGTTTAGACACCTTGAAGGATATTGACCTTTCTGGTGGATGAAAATATAGATAAAATAAAAACATTTTCAAAAAACATGGTATGAAGCAAAAGAGGGAATGTTGTTCTATAAACTGACACTGAAATGGATGCTGTACATTCAAAATTAGCCTATATTAAAAAAAAAAAATTGTGTTGTCCAAAATTTTGGTGTGCACTAAGTGATTGGACACTCAAGTGCTGATATTCAGACAAATTAGTATTTTTTGCATGTTGATAAGGTTGTGTTGGTTTGGTTTGCTGATGAAGATATTGGAACAACCAGTTGGCTTAAGCAATTGGTTGTACTGTACTACTGTAACCTTTTCCACTACCAGTGGAATAGGTTACATAGACACATACAGTAATGGATTAGGAACTGAATTCCCCAAATTTACTTAGCTAAAAAAATTTACAGTACTGATGAGCTAGTTACCTAATTTGTTAACATTTCAATAAATCAGCAGTATCTTCACAGTTTATCAAACTATCATCACTGTAACCTGAAGATGCCTTCACACAAAGAGTGAGTGATTGTTAGTTGAGTTAGTTATGCATACTACATTATGTACACAACACCCATCCACTGGGTGGAAGTGGAAAGTTACAAATTACCTGCATGCATTGCTTACAGTTTGCAAATTGGGGATAATTGTAAAATTCATTGCTTAATATGTTTTCATTTTGTTATACTTATGCAATTTGGTATAGTTTATGTAAAAAAAAAATTCAATTATTGGTCTGCAGGTTCTAAGTGTGCGAGGTGGCGGAATACTAGGAGTGGTAGTGAGGGGAATTGGCCGTGACCACACCTTCCGAATGGAAGATCATGGAACCATATCATCCCTTAAATTTTCACCAGATCACTCAGTTTTAGCTGTCCAACGAAGCAAGAATGCAGTGGTATGATTTAATTGATCTATTATTTACTCATAATTGTTAATTAAACATTTGATTTGGTTATACTGCACTGTACGGTATTAATTAACATAAGATTAAGAATAACAAGTAACTTTCAGAAATACTATTAACATATACAGTATGTCATTGGAAAGAATATTGCAGTGCCTTACAGTGTTTATGCAAATCCCATAGTATGAGCATTATTTAGTGTTGTATTATTGGTATATACTGTAATGTACCATAGTTGCTTCCTTTCTCCTTTCACTTTTAAGGTAAGTGGTGTTAGCCATCTCTGGAACTGTTGTTCCATATGGCCCATGTGAGACATATATAAGCCTAATGGGGATCAGAGACTAAAACCAAAAACTGGTGAGATACCAGAAGTACTTTAATCTGCAGATATAGACCTACTCTGTAAGGGAGATAGCAGAGCTATAAAATGGGGTCCAAAGGAATAACAGGAGGGCACTGGGTATTCAATTTCCTACCAAACAAAGAGTAAAGAGTATCAGTCAACCAAACGAAATCAAGTCTGAGGATAGCGAAAAGCTCTGTACTCCAAGTCACTGTCCTTGCACCACTAGCAAATCTTTATCCTGATATGTTCCACATTCTATGTAGTTGTAATGGCTTGGCACTTTCTCCTGCTAGTTCCCATTCCCCTTCCCTTCTCAACTTGAGTACTGCTTAGTACTCACCTCCCCCTTTCAAAGCAGGAGTGATTTCTGAAATAGAAGGAATTCAGAGAACATAAGTCAAACCCCTTCTTTAAAAGCTCCAATGTAACAAGTACAAGGGGCAACAGCTTCAAGCTCAATAAGTGTCACAATGAAGGATAGAAAACAGGAGATGGTTTTTTTTTGCTCATAGGATAATAAATCCATCAAATTGCCTACCCACCAAAACTGGAACTGCCAATCTTGAGGTTATCTTGAGATGATTTCGGGGCTTTTTAGTGTCCCCGCGGCCCGGTCCTCGACCAGACCTCCAACCCCAGGAAGCAGCCCGTGACAGCTGACTAACACCCAGGTACCTATTTTACTGCTAGGTAACAGGGGCATAGGGTGAAAGAAACTCTGCCCATTGTTTCTCGCCGGCGCCTGGTATCGAACCCAGGACCACAGGATCACAAGTCCAGCGTGCTGTCAGCTCGGCCGACCGGCTCCCCGGCCAAGACAAACCTTTATTTTAAAATCAGCTGGAAAAAATCCTTCTTGTCCCTATCTAGGCCACTAGAGATGGTGGCCCTCAGGTGAATTCATATAATACATAGCATGCATAGACACAGTAAGACATCTAAATTATTGTAACCATCTCAAAATACTCAAAGTGTACTCTCGGGAAAGGAGCCGAGATAGTAATCATGTATGCATGGGAGTTACCGGAAGGCCAGGTCTCAAATACGAACAACGAAATTACTTACTGGAGCAATAGATACGATAAGAAATGCAAAATATATTCGGTGAAGAGTAGAGATGGTAAAGGTATAATCAGAGAATACTGTATGAGCATCAGAGGTTCACATCTCTTCACCTCCTCTCTTCAAACATTAGAAATAGTGCCAGAAAACAAATGGAAGTGTTCAAGAGATATCTCGACAAGTTCCTGCAAGAAGTGCCAGACCAAATAGGATGTAATGGAGATGTGGGTCTGCAGGTCGCTCAAAGCAACAACTTATTAAATCACCTTATCACAAGACAAGCCTGGCCCCAGGCTGGGCTTAGGGAGTAGAACTCTCAGATCTGACTACAAGTAACCTACAGGTAAACTATTCTAGGCTTGATGAAGAGTACCCTATGTAGGTAAGAATACTGCCCTCATTCATCAGCTTGCTTCTGGCTGCTGCTTCTGAGAACAGAATCCTGATGGATTTGTGTTCTTCAGCACAGGTAAATCCCTCCTTGTTTATCAATGATTTTTTTGCATTAATGACTCTACCTCAGAAGCCAGCAGAATAATCAAGCTTATAAATCAGGTTTTGAGCTTATGAAGTGAACAAAGTTGGTGATTGGTTTGTAATTAGAGCCTGTCACTGGCAGTCACACAGTGATATCAGGGGTAGAAAGCTCTCTGTAGGGTTTGCTTTTATATAAAGACTTGTCTGTCATTCTTGCCTGGACTAATATTTTCTCATGACACCCTAGCATCTTATATGCCCTTGTAAAGACTTTTGAAAAGATCTCTGTGGTGCTAGTGCCATATGTCTGCCACTTCAATGATGTCTGATCTTTTTTATATACATTAAATTATAAACCTTAGCAAAAGGCAATACGATCTGTGCATAAATTTACTTTCATTAATATAAGTTTGATTTTTCTGTATTATTGAATTATTAGACTCACTTTTCTCACAGACCATCTTTATAAACTGATTAAGAATGAAAAACTTTATGCTATTAATTTTTAGTTTTGCTTCTAATACTGCATTTGTTATTTTCTCATACTACAGGAATTACTCACTTACACAGAGGGTGAAGTTGGTCCTGGAAGTGTTCAAGAGTGCCGTGCAAAAACTGCAAACCTACTTGGGTTCATCTGGACACACAATGAGGACCTAGTTTTAGTAACAGATCATGGTGTTGAATTTTATCAGGTATTAGTATCTTGTTGTATTGTATTAAGAATGATATTTTATGAGAAATGTGATGTATACAAATAACATTTGATTAATTACTTAAATTTATGGGAAATTTGTGGTTGGCACAGATTGCAGACATTACCAGTGAAAAATAATGTGTTATTCTTTGCTGCATACTTTATTGTGTGTACCAGTCCGTATTATTATCACAAATACTCAGTTTTATTTTTATACTTGTAATATTGTAATAACAAATTCCTTTCTCTTTTTGTAATTACTTAAGTATAGATACAGAATGAGAGCTATGTTTATGATGAGCCTTCTGATGGTTTTGGAATACACTACCCTCTCATTTAATTTACTTTACCGAGTGTAGACAGGTGGAATAAATGAAATGAAAGGTTAGTGTATACCATATGCATCTGTAAGTCATTATTAGGTATAATGTACCTTTAAGAGTGAAACTCCATGGTTTGGTGTTCCATTTTGTTAATATTTTCTGAGGGAAAGCCCCGTCAGCTTCCTAGAGCTATTGGACTGATATTAGCTAATACTGTATTAGTATGGGGCTTCAGTCATATGGAGTTGTCGTGCCTACCAGGGACCACTAGTCAGAACATAGTCCACTCAGAGAGGCGCAGGGAGCAGTGGCCTAAGAAACTCTCATGTATGAAAGTATTCATGTCTGCCATCCACCAGGGTTGAGCACCCAGAAAGATAGGTGCTCCAAAACTGACCCCCCTCCTAATAAAAAAATTGCAATCTGAGACCGAACAGAGGCTAGTAATTCCCCCAAGGATAACAAGTTAACAACCAACACGTCAACACACACTGCGCCACTCCTTCGCCCCCCCCCCCGGGAGGGGGAGAGGGGGGTCCCAGCCCACTGAGCCAGCAGCCGGACCATCAGTTTGTCGACTGAAGCTAAACGAGGTGGACATCTACTCTGGTCTCAGTTCCCTGACAGGCTTTTCAACTGGGTGGTGGTTCTTACTATGAATTGGCACAGTGGCCAGGAGTTGGTACCAAGGGCTGCAAGAGGTACCAAGGGGTACCAAGGGGTTGGTATCAGTTTGCCCAGATAATATACGGGGTTACAACCAGCTTTGGCAGTACCAGTGCCTGGGCTTCCTGTAGGGATATATCCCCCTATGGGCCCAGGAATCTCCCATCGGGGCAGGGTTGACCGATGGACGTATCCTCCGAATCCCATTTCGCCTTCTGCAGGTTTGAAGATTGTTTGTTGCCCCTGTCTCAGGGTGACGATCACCTGTTCTGCCTTCGTTGTGCTGCTTGTTGGATCAACGACACCACCTACCTGGAGTCTTGCGAGACTTGATCTCCGCTGGTACTCCAATTTACCCATTTTGCTGTAGCTGAGGTTAGGGGTCAAGCAGCATGCGCATTGAATGCTAGGTTTCAGTTGGTGCGACACACTGTTGGTTGCCCGCTTGAAGTTCTATCCACTCGTTCGGCTTTGGTAGCAATTCTTAACCAGAAGGGGGGGATATTTTGGGGCGCCTATCTTTCTGAGGTGCCCGACCCGGTTGATGGCAGACATAGAGTACTTCTAACTTACATATAAGGTGTCTCTATAGGCCATTGCTCCTCGTGCCTCTCTGAGGGGGTCAGGTTCTGGCTCGTGGTCCCCGGTAAACCTAGAACTCAATGTACATTGATTGATGGCCAAAGCTAATACTGTACTCTGTATCAGCCCAGATAGCTCCGGGGAGCCTTCGGGTCTCACCCAGAAAATGGTGTTTCATTACATTCAATGATGGTTTTTTAATAGAATTAAAAGTTTTTGCTTATATAGCTTTTGTTTTGTTTTTGCTATACATGAAAACTTTAAGTCCTGACCAAATAAAATCTTTCTCTAGACACAGCATGTTGCAAAGGATCGTGTAAGCATTCGTCATATACGAAACTATAGTCTCACTTGCTCTTGGTTTGTTTGGAGCACAGAATGTTCACTTTTGCTCCTTTGTACTGGGTCTGCTCCTACCACCACCACACTCCAGCCCTTCATGTTCAAGCCAGGACAGTCCAACAAACTAAATAAATTTGAAGGTTTGTTGTAATTTGTTTAGTTCTTTGCCTTGATATTTGATTATAATCATTTTTATACTGAATTATAAATACTGTATATTACAGGGGTACCTCAGTTTTCGTAGTTAATCTGTTCCCAGAGACGGTACAAAAACCGAAACAAATTTTCCCATAAGAAATAATGTAAATTGAATTAATCCGTTCCATACCCCCAAATATATTAACTAAAAAATACATTTTATACAGAATAATTCTCTTAGGTACCTTATCTTTATTGAGGACTCTTGTTGGCGTATGGAAGACAGTAAGGAAGGGGGAGGAGGAGGTGAGGTGTTAGTGTTTGGAAGGGAAGTCCCATTCCATTATAACAGCAGTGATGACATTTCTGGGGTACACTCTCTCTTATGTTTTGCAGCCATACCACTAGGACCTGGTTGTGGCTCAATGCTTGCTTGTCTTAATAAGAATCTGACTATAGACACTTATTTTTCCCTATGTTTTAACACTTGTCTGTAGTGAGACATCACATTGTCTTACTATGAATGATCTCTTGTTTTTCCTCTATCGTCATCCTCTCAACTATTTTCTTAGGTTGAACATTACCACTGACTTTCTTGGAACCCATGGCGTGATATATAATAAGAACTTTTATGTTCAGAAACCAAAAAAGCACAAAAACAATGAAATTCTTCACAAAGAATTCAAGTGTGATCATCACTAGGCGGGAGACACTGGTAAACTGAAGCGCCACGCTCACAGTGGACCCGTACATGTATGAACAAACTCCGAGCACCAAGGCAAACAACGAGTACCGAATAAAATTTTTCGGAGAAATTGAGTACAAGTATGAAAAATACGAGAACCGAGGTTCCACTGTACAGTACTAGAATTTGTAAAATTTGTAACTTAGAAATAAATTTTCATGTTTTATTTTTTATTTTTCATAGTGGAAGTAAGTAGTGGCAGTAGCATTCACACCCCTGGAGTGACACTGGGTGAGCGAGATGTATGTGTTGGCACCATATATGGTCAGGTGTCAATCTGTGTATTGCGTCATCCATCCACCCCCACTGTTGCTGCACACCTAGATGTATATTCACAGAATAAGTATGTGCCATTTATATGATGTTCATATATTAAAATTTTCTAATTACTTGTACCTGTATTGTATTGAAGCTGTATATGTCTGTAAGGGGCTCCCCTCTGTGTATCTCCCAAGTTAACAACCTGGAATCCTCCAAACATACATTCCAAACAAGGCTCTGATGAATCACAAACACTACCAGAGACCAGGAATGCCATCTGGCCCACTCAATAGGGGCATGGCATTTAAAGGCATAGAGGCATTTTTCAACAGTGTTAGGGGTGGATATCCATGAGGGTTTTCTTGTATTTGGCTAGCATTGCTCTTACATTTTCAAGATATTTCCTGGTCATTATCTTATTCTTCCACTTCCATTTCTCCCTTTCTGTTTCCAAGGGAGGTATTTTCTCATGTACTTGCATGGTGGTTGGCTCAACTGTTAAATTCTTAAGTCAGGTGTTCTTTGGCATAGTCTTTTCCCATTGCCAGTGCTTCTAGGTCCCTCTATCTGAGCTTACTGCATTCGGTTAAGATAGGCAGGTGTCTGAGTCTGGGACATTGGCACTGCTTTTGTTGTCAGCCTTCTCTTGTGGGGTTGTTTGCACTTTTCTTCATGGAGGGGGTGCTTATTGGGGTTCCCTGTTCCACTGTGGGTGTAGTTGGCCATCATTTCTGCAGGGGTCCACTTTTATTTCCTTTACTTCCTTGTTTCTTTGGGATAAGCCTTCATCTTGCCGACTTCGTGGAGATTTCATGATGATGCTTCATCTTTTCCTTCCTTGTGGTCTTAGAGTTCTGGGGAAATTGTAGACTCTGCCTCCAGTCCTTCAACTACGTGGGTGGAGAGGTTATCAGGGATGAGGGAGTGTCAGAAGAGTGTTCCTGGCTGCCTTTCAATCTTCTTTGTTGTTTGGCTCATAGTCCTGAAGGATTATTATCTGTTGATGGTGTCCCACCTGAGAGCTTCGTCTCGGCGACAGTATGAAGTATCCTGGTGTTGTTTCCCCCCATTTTCTCTTTGTAGGTTTCCTTCTATTTCTGATTGTCGGGTTGTCGTGTCCTTTCTTTCTTGGTACATTTCCTGAACCGTCATTTGATGCCACATACTGTCACCTAGTATCATGCGGCGCTGGCAGAGCAGCTCCAGCTTGCATTCGGAGTGGATGTCACTTCTGCCCCCCATTCCTTAAGCACTCTAGTGTTGTTTCACCTCTGGCCTGCTTATGCTCCACCTGAGCCATCCTGGTCCTTGGACAGGGTGCTCTCCTATCTCTCTACTCCTCGGTTCGTGGTGGCCCCTTCGGTTCAAGATTGTTTTTCTAAATCTCTTTCTGTTGGCATTGACCTCTGGGGCTCGGGTTGGTGAGCTTCATGCTCTCCTCCGGCGCAAGGGTTTCTGCTCTTTTGGTCCTGGTAGTTGATTTAGTTGGTTGCAGCCTTCTGCTTCTTTTCTGGCAAAGAACGCGACGACTGCTTTTAGGGGGGGGTCCTTGGGGTCATTGATGCTTGGTTGGTCAGGCCGGGGGTGGATCATGCGTTGTGTCCGGTTGTGGCTCTTTGCCGTTATCTGCGCACCTCGGCTTCTGTGGCCAGGGATGCTCTTTGGGTTGATCCAGTTTCCCTCGTTCCATGTCCCAGAGAGACCTTGGGTCTCCCAGGTCGTCCGCAAGGTTATTAAGTCTAGCCAGCCTGCATTCTATCCTCGTGCCAATGACATTCGGAAGTTTGCTGCTTCGGCTGAAATCTTCGGCACCATGTCTTGGGCGGATATTCATGCGCAGGGACTTTGTAGGTCTAACAGAGTCCTGGCTGCCTGTTATTTGGTCGACATTCCTGGTCTTGGGCGTTCGTGTGTGGTGTTGGGTCGCAGGTTGCAGCCAGTTGTCTCGCCTTCAAGTTGAGGAGCATGTGGGGCCTCGCAGCCTGGTGGATAGCGCGCAGGACTCGTAATTCTGTGCCTCGTGCGATTCCCGCACGAGGCAGAAACAAATGGGCAAAGTTTCTTTCACCTTGAATGCCCCTGTTACCTAGCAGTAAATAGGTACCTGGGAGTTAGTCAGCTGTCACGGGCTGCTACCTGGGGGTGGAGGCCTGGTCGAGGACCGGGCCGCGGGGACACTAAAGCCCCGAAATCATCTCAAGAATCAAGATGTGGTGGCCGCCTTCCGGGTATGTCCCTCTTTTCCTTATCTTTGGTTATGTAGCTCCAGGGAGCCGAAAGGGCTCCCCACAGAAACCCAGCATTGAATGTAATGAAACACCATTTGCTGGGTGAGCCCTGGAAGCTCCCTGGCACCTCCCTCCCCCCTTCCCTCCAGTCAGCAGTTTTGCATTGTTTTTTATGCTTAGCCTCCAAACTGAGGTTGGGTAGCTAGTCCAGTGTGTCCTGGCCCCCCCCCCCTCTCCCCTACCAAGGGGGGGGACTGCGTGTAAGAGCGGCACGGCGGCGTGGTGTGAATTTTGCTTGTTTGCTTGTTTCCTTGGGAATTGAGAGAGGTCTCCCTCTCTGTTTGGTTTTCATTTGCAATTTTCTTACCATGTGGGGTCTGTTTTGTTATGCCTACCTTTCTGGGTGCCTAGCACCAGTCAATGGCAGATAAGGAAAAACCCCAACCACAGAGGGGTTTTCCAGGGTCATTGCTCCCTGTGCCTCTCTGAGGGGGTCAGGTTCTGGCTCGTGGTCCCTGGTAGGCTGAACTCCTTTGACTAATGCCCTAGTGTAATGAATTGCATATTAGCCCGATAGCACCAGGGAGCCTCTGGGGCTCATCCAAAAAATGGCGTTTCATTACAGTCAAAGCTGGTTTTTTAAAGGAACCAAATTGTAAGATGTAATTAATGGAAAATTTAAGTTCAGAAGTTTAAGCAAATTTGTTTCAAGTAACTTTTTGAGGTACAGTATTCACTGCTAGGATGGAGAAACAGACATTTAACAGTGAATATTGTTTCCCATAGTTGGGGACAGAAAGCCTGTTAAGCTTACTGAGGTACCACTAGGTCAGCTGCTGGCTTTCCCCAGGATGCAACCCACAACAGTTGCCTAACTTCGAGGTAAATATTCATGGCTAGGCAAGAGGAATAATTTCCCAAACCCTTCTGTTCTGCCACAGGAATTGAGCCGGAAACCTTTCGGCTGAGACTTGACTGCATTGACCACTGCATCACAGAAACAAGGAAGGCACAACTCTTTTTTTTTTTATTATTATTATTTAAATATAAAATGAGTGCAAGCTGTAGGGTGAAAAGTGAAATGTAAAATTAGGATCTGAAAAATGGTCTGTATATGAGTGGAAAAGGTAAGTAAAGTGCACATTATTGAGGTAATGGACAAAATATGAGAATAGAAATGAAAGATCTAAGAGAATTTTGAAAGGATCAAAAGTGTATAGACAATGGGTTTAATATAAAATAATATTGAAAATGTGAAATAAACAAACATAAATTGTAATAGTAGTGTATGTTTATTGGTTTGACAGTACTAGTATACTGCATTATAGTTATGTTTATATGAATGTTCTGTAACTTTGGTACTAACATTTAAATCTGAAATTTGTACAGCATTTTCTTTCAGAAATCATATTTATTAAATTGTCAAAGTTTATTAACATTGCTAATTACAGAGATGGAGCCTTTAAAAGAACTCACATCTGTCGTTTGGAGTTAACAGGGCGTTTTGCTGTAAATATCATTGACAGTCTCATAATTGTCCACCACCAGGCATCCAAGGTGATTTATATATTTAAATTACAGTATTATTAATTGCTTCAACATATTATTAATCTTGAATTGTGATTAACAGTAGTAGCAGTAGAGTAAAACAATGAAAATGTAATATAGTACAGTATTGTACAGTATTGTAATTTTCTGGGGAGCCCCGTCAGCTCCCTGAAGTTATACGAACTGATAGTGCTTTATTAATTTGGGTTATCAGTCACAGGAGTTCTTATGCCTACCGGGGACCACGAGCCAGAACCTGGAACCCTCAGAGAGGCGCAGAGAGCAATGACGCATGAGCACTTTACATTTAATTATGTCATATTACCAAAGTATGTCATCTTTGCCACTACCTTCATGACACTGATTTTGCCATGGTGGATGCTTTGTTGGTTGAACCTGTCTCCTTGGGTTTTGGAGGTCTAACAGGGGACATGGTAGGCCCGGTATTTGGTCAATGTCCTTGAGCCTTGCTTGTCATGCCTGTGCTGCTTTGGGCTGTTTCTTTTGCCTTCACCATAGTACCTGCCATCTCCCTTCATCTATGGTATGTCCCTTGGGTTTCTCAGGAAGCCACAAGGGGCTCCCTCAGAAAACCAGCATTAAATGTATTAATGAGAAAACCATGTGGTGCTTCCTAGCATGTTCCAGCTGGTTCTCGCAAATTCTCTGACACATCCGACGAGGCAAATCAATGATTTTTTTTTTTAAAGATGCTAATGATGGTGGTATGTAAAGGGGTGACTGCTGTAATGTTGCAAAGCATTGTTTTGTTTTGTTTTCTCTAGAAAAATTAAAAATTGAAAAAATTGAAAAAAAGAACAAATGTCAAAAAGGTTCGTTCAGTGTATGTCAGGTAGGCTGCTCCATCATTTAAAAAATCGAATATCATATTGATGTTTTTCGGTGGTGGACCGGATTAATTTTATTTCCATTATTTTAAATGGGAACTTTGTTTCGAAAGACGAGCGTTTCACATGACGAGCTCGGTGCCGGAATTGATTAAATTCGTTAATCGAGGGTCCAGAGAGTGAGTGAGTGAGTGAGTGTGTGTGTGTGTGTGTGTGTGTGTGTGTGTGTGTGTGTGTGTGTGTGTGTGTGTGTGTGTGTGTGTGTGTGTGTGTGTGTGTGTGTAATTACCTAAGTGTAATTACCTAAGTGTAGTTACAGGATGAGAGCTACGCTCGTGGTGTCCCGTCTTCCCAGCACTCTTTGTCATATAACGCTTTGAAACTACTGACGGTCTTGGCCTCCACCACCTTCTCACTTAACTTGTTCCAACCGTCTACCACTCTATTTGCGAAGGTGAATTTTCTTATATTTCTTCGGCATCTGTGTTTAGCTAGTTTAAATCTATGACCTCTTGTTCTTGAAATTCCAGGTCTCAGGAAGTCTTCCCTGTCGATTTTATCAATTCCTGTAACTATTTTGTATGTAGTGATCATATCACCTCTTTTTCTTCTGTCTTCTAGTTTTGGCATATTTAATGCTTCTAACCTCTCCTCGTAGCTCTTGCCCTTCAGTTCTGGGAGCCACTTAGTAGCATGTCTTTGCACCTTTTCCAGTTTGTTGATGTGCTTCTTAAGATATGGGCACCACACAACAGCTGCATATTCTAGCTTTGGCCTAACAAAAGTCATGAACAATTTCTTTAGTATATCGCCATCCATGTATTTAAATGCAATTCTGAAGTTAGAAAGCATAGCATAGGCTCCTTGCACAATATTCTTAATGTGGTCCTCAGGTGATAGTTTTCTATCTAGAACCACTCCTAGATCTCTTTCTTTATCAGAATTCTTTAAAGATTTCTCACATAATATATAGGTTGTGTGGGGTCTATGTTCTCCTATTCCACATTCCATAACATGACATTTATTAACATTAAATTCCATTTGCCAAGTGGTGCTCCATATACTTATTTTGTCCAGGTCTTCTTGAAGGGCATGACAGTCATCTAAATTTCTTATCCTTCCTATTATCTTAGCATCATCAGCAAACATGTTCATATAATTCTGTATACCAACTGGTAGATCATTTATGTACACAATAAACATCACTGGTGCAAGAACTGAACCCTGTGGTACTCCACTTGTGACATTTCTCCATTCTGATACATTGCCTCTGATTACTGCCCTCATTTTTCTATCAGTCAGAAAATTTTTCATCCATGATAGAAGCTTACCTGTCACCCCTCCAATATTTTCCAGTTTCCAGAACAACCTCTTATGTGGAACTCTGTCGAAAGCCTTTTTTAGGTCCAGATAGATGCAGTCAACCCAACCATCTCTTTCCTGTAATATCTCTGTGGCTCGATCATAGAAACTGAGTAAATTCGATACACAGGATCTTCCAGATCGAAAACCATACTGTCTGTCTGATATTATATCATTTCTCTCTAGGTGTTCTACCCATTTAGTTTTGATTAGTTTTTCCAATACTTTCACTATTACACTTGTCAATGATACAGGTCTATAATTGAGGGGGTCTTCCCTGCTGCCACTTTTGTAGATTGGAACTATGTTAGCCTGTTTCCACCCGTCTGCTACGATTCCTGTACACAGGGATGCCTGAAAGATCAGGTGAAGTGGAATGCTGAGCTCAGATGCACATTCTCTCAGAACCCATGGTGAAACGCCATCTGGGCCAGCTGCTTTGTTCTTACCGAGCTCCTTGAGCATTTTTTCCACTTCGTCTCTAGACACCTCTATGTGTTCTATGTTGTTCTCTGGAATTCTTATTGTATCTGGTTCCCTAAAGATTTCATTTTGTACAAACACACTTTGGAACTTTTCGTTTAGTGTTTCACACATTTCCTTTTCATCTTCCGTGAATCTATTTCCAATTTTCAACCTCTGAATATTATCCTTTACCTGCAATTTGTTGTTTATGAATTTATAGAATAGACCTGGTTCTGTTTTACATTTGTCCGCAATCCCTTTTTCAAAATTTCTTTCTGCCTCTCTCCTCACTGCCGTGTAGTTGTTTCTCGCATCTTTGTATCGCTGGTATGTTTGGGGGTTCGGCCTCTTCCTGTATTGATTCCATTTTTGTGTCTTTCGGTCTCTAGCCCTCTCGCAATTTCTATTGAACCAATCCTGTTTCCTAGTTCTGCATCTCTGTTTTGGTATAAATTTTTTTGTGCCTTTATCATATATTTCACAAAACTTGCCATACATCTCATTCACTTCCTTGCCTAGCATCAAGTCTGTCCAATTATACTCACTAAAAAAATTTCTAAGGTCACCATAATGTCCTCTCCTGAAGTCTGGTTTTTCAACTGCTTCAACCTCCTTATTTTCTTCCAGCTTATAACGCATTGCATACTTTATTCCCAAAAAGACATGGTCACTTTTACCCAAGGGAGGAAGGTACTGAATGTCAAATATCTCTTCCTCCTTCCTGGTAAATATCAAATCTAGCATGGAGGGAACATCCCCTTCCCTCATCCTCGTAGCTTGTTTAACATGTTGATACAAGAATGTTTCCAGGATGAGGTCTACAAATTTACAGGTCCAAAAATCTTCTGTTTTAGCTTCATATGCTTCCCAGTCTATGGATTTCAAGTTGAAGTCACCGACTATCAACAGTCGTGATCTATCGTTATCCGCTCTCGCTATAATCTCTCTCATTATTGTTATAAGACCTTCACGTTTACTATCTAGCTCCTCCTTTGACCATGTGCTGCTTGGCGGTGGACTATATGCATTTATCATCATTAGTTTATCATCCTCATAGCAGATCTCTAGTGCTATTATGTCAACTTCTTGTGGATTGGCAGTCATTATTTCCTTCACCTTTAGGTGTTCTTTTACCAGCACAGCAACGCCACCACCTTTCCTAATTTTTCCTAAAGTAAGTGTGTGTGTGTGTGTGTGTGTGTGTGTGTGTGTGTGTGTGTGTGTGTGTGTGTGTGTGTGTGTGTGTGTGTGTGTGTAATTACCTAAGTGTAGTTACAGGATGAGAGCTACGCTCGTGGTGTCCCGTCTTCCCAGCACTCTTTGTCATATAACGCTTTGAAACTACTGACGGTCTTGGCCTCCACCACCTTCTCACTTAACTTGTTCCAACCGTCTACCACTCTATTTGCGAAGGTGAATTTTCTTATATTTCTTCGGCATCTGTGTTTAGCTAGTTTAAATCTATGACCTCTTGTTCTTGAAGTTCCAGGTCTCAGGAAGTCTTCCCTGTCGATTTTATCAATTCCTGTTACTATTTTGTACGTAGTGATCATATCACCTCTTTTTCTTCTGTCTTCTAGTTTTGGCATATTTAATGCTTCTAACCTCTCCTCGTAGCTCTTGCCCTTCAGTTCTGGGAGCCACTTAGTAGCATGTCTTTGCACCTTTTCCAGTTTGTTGATGTGCTTCTTAAGATATGGGCACCACACAACAGCTGCATATTCTAGCTTTGGCCTAACAAAAGTCATGAACAATTTCTTTAGTATATCGCCATCCATGTATTTAAATGCAATTCTGAAGTTAGAAAGCATTGCATAGGCTCCTTGCACAATATTCTTAATGTGGTCCTCAGGTGATAGTTTTCTATCTAGAACCACTCCTAGATCTCTTTCTTTATCAGAATTCTTTAAAGATTTCTCACATAATATATAGGTTGTGTGTGTGTGTGTGTGTGTGTGTGTGTGTGTGTGTGTGTGTGTGTGTGTGTGTGTGTGTGTGTGTGTGTGTGTGTGTGTGTGTGTGTGTATATATATATATATATATATATATGCGCTGTATATATATATATATGGATGCTTTTATATATATTTATGGATGCTTTTTCCTGTTGTGGCAGTGTCCCTCTCGGCACCTCTGTGAGGAGGTTAGATTTCAGTTCTGGTTCCAGTAGGCCAAAGAGAACTCTGTGACTGATGTATTTATTATTTATGCCTGCAGGATCGAGCTGTTAGCTCTTGGACCCCACCTTTCTAGTCATCGGTTGTCTAATGTACTGACTCCCAACTAATTTTCCTCCATCATGTCTATTACATATATTTCTCTCTAAAACACACATGCAACCCCTCTTTCCCTCCCATGATACAACCTGTAGTAGCTATTTAATTTCCAGGTACCTATTTACTGCTAGGTGAGGGAGAAGCATCGGGTGAAAGAAGCTTCCGATTTGTTTCTGCCTTGGCCGGGAATCAAACCCAGGCCCTTAGGACTGCAACCCTCGAGTACTGTCCACTAGGCTGTGAGGCCCCCTGATGTGATCTAATAGTTGGGAGCAATCTCATCAAAATAGCTTCTGGGAGCCACTAACGCTCATCCAGAAAGTGGTATTTCATTACTTTCAATGCTGGTTTTTTAAACAATTTCAATACTATAATACATCAATTAAGCCACTGTGAGATATGTTCTGTATATAATCACACGCTTTCCTTTTTTTCATGAAGTAGGGTGTTTATCCATCACTAAACTACTGTTAAAGTTTGTCCTATCAATTACAGTTGCACATACAACAGTGAAGTACATATATATGCTTGCCCTCAATCATCCCCTCTAGATGTTCAAATGATTTTATGGGGAAAAGCACTAAGAAAGCAGGTTCACAAATTCTAGAAATATAATAAATAACCTAGAAAAAATAAATGTACTGTACTGTAAATTCAGAGAGAAACAAAAAACTATTACACTATTAAATCCTTTCATAATTCTATACACGCTTTGTAGAGTTGAAACTGCAAATTTGAATAGATTTTTGAACAACATGGGAAGTTAGGGCCACTTCACTGTCATTCAGCTTCTTCCTTGCAATTTTTCTATCCCTTATTCATCTCTGCCTGTTCATACCACATGTATTTCTTGGTTAATTTTAATGCACAATTATTAGACATTTCATGTAATATGTATTAAATGTTGTCCTCTCAACAGACATCTCTTCTCTTTGATATTCTACTTGGTGGAGAAGTAAATGGTGGAATAACATCGGTATACCCAATAACAGTGCCAAGATCTATTCAGCCATTTTCACTGGTGGAACCTGATGCCGTCCCTTCTACTACTTCACAACCTATATCTCTTCCATGTGAGCTGTATGCACCGACATGGGTTGTGTTTCAGGTATGATGAATGCCATATTTAGAGCTTTTCTGTGGGGAGCCCTGTCGGCTCCCTGAAGCTATCTGAACTGATATCTGCTATATTAATCTGGGGTCATCAGTCACAAGAGTCCTTATACCTACCAGGGACCACGAGCCAGAACCTGGTCCCTTCAGAGAACTGCAGGGAGCAATGGCCTATGAGCACTTTACATTTAAAGTATGTCATAATTGCCATCAATTGGGAAAGGAACCAGAAAGGTAGGCAAATCAAAACAGACCACTGTCTGGTTAACCTGTGCAATCTACATCAGAAAAGATAAAATAACTCACCTAGAAAGAAACCAAACAAGCAACACTTCATGCTACTAGCACATGCTACATTCCTGTTCTGGATTTTTGCTCTGTGTGGCTGTTCCAGCTGTGTGTGTGTGATGTGGTGGCCAGGTGTCTTGGTGGATATGGTGGTTGTGGATGCTTAGTTGGTTAGGCTGGGGGTGTCATGTGTTGTGTCCAGTGGCGGCTTTACGCCACTACCTAAGGGCCAATGGTTCTGTGTCAGTGGACACTCTCTGGGTGGTTCGGATTTCTTTGGTTCCCAGTTCCAGGGCTCGTGTGTCTCAGGTTTTCTGCAGTGTTACGCATTCCAGCCTGTGGCTTACCCTCAAGTCCCACGATGTTAGGAAGTATGCTGCTCTTGTGGGAGTTTTTATCAACATGTCTTAGGTCGACATTCGAGCGCATGGATTTTCGAGACTGAACAGAGTCCTGGCTGCCAGGTGTCTCATGAACATTCTGGTTCCTTCCCGGCCATGTGTGACTTTGGGGCACCTATCGCAGCCATCTGTCTCTTCCTCGTCATGAGACCTGCGGTGCTGCCGCCTCCCGGGTAAGTCCCTCCTTTTACTTATTAGCTTCAGGATATTAGAGTAGTTAGCTTCAGGGAGCTGATGGGGCTCACCACAGAAAATCAGTGTTGACTGTAATGAAATGCCATTTTCTGGGTGAGCCCTGGAGGCTCCCCGACGGAGGCTCCCTTCCCCTGGTCGGCGGTTTTTATTGTTAAAGAACTGTAGTGGTGGGCTGCCGGCTTTCCCATAAGGGGTAGTGCTAACAAGCAGGAGTGCTAGTTGCATAAAGTCTTGCTTGTTGGGTTTCTTTCTAGGGCAGTTATTTTGATCTTTAAAAATGTAGATTGCACAGGTTAACCAGACAGTGGTTTCTTTTGATTCATCTACCTTTCTGGGTCCTTCCCCAGTCAATGGCAATTATGACATACTTTAAATGTAAAGTGCTCATAGGCCATTGCTCCCTGTGACTCTGAGGGGACCAGGTTCTGGCTCGTGGTACATAGTAGGCATAAGGACTCCTGGGACTGATGAAACTATCAGAGCAGATATCAGTTCGGATAGCTTCAGGAAGCCTCTGCCCAAAAAATGGCGTTTCATTCCATTCAATGCTGGTTTTATTTTCTGATTTCACTGAAACATTTCTGGTAATTTGTTTACTTCAATTTCAATAACAAACTGGTGGGATTTCTGGTCTGGTCCCTTAGCTCCTCATATCTTAGCCTATCTGCTAGTAGGGCATAGCTTCCTACCCTGCAAACACACAGTGGAACAGTCCCTATGATTCCCTTGTTACAACTTGTAATAAAGTTGTTACATCTTGTTATAACATTTTGTGATATATTAGAATGTTGTTACAACTTGATATACAATATATTGGATGTTTACCAACAGTCATGATTTATATTTATCTGCTCTTACTATAATCTCTCTCACGATCATTATAACACCCTCTTGTTTGTCATCCAGTTCTTCCTTTGTCCATGTATTGCTTGCTGGTGGACTATAGGCATTTATGATTATCAGTTTGTCATTCTGATTGCAAATGTCCAGTTCCATTATGTCAACATCTCAAGATTTGTCAATTATTAATTCTCTTATCTTCAAGTGTTCTTTCACCAGCACAGTAATGCCTCCACCTTAATTAATATTTCTGTCACGTCTCCAAATTGAGTGGTACTCTGGAATATGACCTAATTTAAAATATTATCTTCAAGTTTTGTCTCTATTATTACAATAATATCTGACATCTTTAGCAGTATTATATGTTCTTAACTACCCCCATTATCTAATGATTTTGCAGGTTTGCTTTTTTGTACCATTTCACTGGCTTCCTAATCCCTATCACTTTGTAGAACAAAAAATTTGATGTCTTCCTTATTCCTACAGTCATTTGAACATTTTGCTTCAATGAGGTTCAGGTTCAGTTTCTCTGTCTTCCTTTTGAAGGTCTCATCTTAACCACCGTGCTGCGCTGAGTTTATTATGAAATTCCCCCCTGTGCGCATGAAATAAAGTGTTCCCCAAAATTCTTTTTTCTTCATAAAATGATAAATTCCCTTCCCTGAACATGTCTATGTAAAAATAAATACAAAATTCCACTTACTTTGGCTGTGGGGACGTGGACAAGGTGCACTGTGACGTCATCAGGGGCTGGTCACCTGTGCGTGACACGCCCAGACACAGTTGTGCGGGCCATTCAAGCACCGGGTGTTACCACAAATATATTTTCAATTATTTGTTTTATGTATTTCCAATGTGGTTTTATTTGTTTTTTATCATATATGATGCATATTTGTGTCCTTTACAATATGTATACAGTAGAACATTCATAATGTTCCATGGAACTGTGATACATGTGTCAGTAATGTGTCCCCAATAAATGTTTATTATCACAATATTACTTGTTAAAAATTCACTAAAATTACAATATGTACAGTTTCACATACTATTTACACAGTAACACACTGTATTACACACTCAGTACTTCGGAAGTGAGTAATAATCAACGAAGTAGTCCATGGTACACAGCCCAACTTCACTCTCGTTGCACCAGGTACAGATAGATTTTCGCTTCCTGTTTCTTCGTTCTGTGTGCTTGTAAATAACGCACTCACGTACACCCTTGGTATTAGTACCTGTAGGTGGTATGTAGCCAAGCTTGTAAAATGTAAGGTAGTCTTGAAAAGATTACAGGAAAAGATCAATTTGTAAGGTAGTTGTGAAAAAATCACTTTGTAAGGTCTCACACAGGAAGAGATTCAGCCAGCCTTCTGAATCTCACACAGGTTGATCATTCCAGCAACCAGGAGGCCTGGTCGACGACCGGGCCGCGGAGACGCTAAGCCACGGAAGCACCTCAAGGTAACCTCAAGGTGAGGTAGCCTCAAAGAGTGTCCATCAGTCAAGAAAAGATTCAGCTAGCCTCAAAGAGTGTCCATCAGTCAAGAAGAGATTCAGCTATTCTTGAAAATATCTACGGAAAACACTACCATGGAAGTCGCTAACATTGTTCATCTATGCTAATTGTATCAGATGCATCATCACTGAACGCAGAAAATGATTCATCTATGTATCATCTAAATAAATTGGAGATAACATAGGTGGGCAAGGATGGTGCTCAGAGCTACAACTGGATACACTCTCTGTATCGTCCTCATAGGTGCTGTATCACTTGCATCCGACCTTTGTGTTAGGTCCTTATTGCGCCTAGCTTCACCAATATTATGACCCTTATGTTCTTCAAACGACAAGGTTTGAATTTCACCGACAGAGCGCGATCTTTCAACACCGCGTCGGACAGGTGTTTGGGAGCCAGAGGCGCATGCGCCACCCATGGTTGCTTACTCAGTACTGTACTAACCCAGCCAGCAGCCCTAGGGCATTCTGGGAATTTTTTCCAAGATGGCATCCTCTCACTGGAGGTCCTTAGAGTCCATTTCGTATACAACCAACTTCACACACATTTAAAATGGGTAAAAAAAAAAAAAAAAAAAAGAGTTTTCTCGGCTGGCGCAGTTTCCCACCAACCAAGAATACTCGGTTGGTGCAGTTAGGTGGTTAATGACCATAATTTCCCATCCTCATCACTTGAAATTTCCTAATATTCCTGAGTACTCCTTCCATATGATTAGCTCCATTTAGGGTAATCCTTAAGGGTTAATCTTCTACTTTTTTGTACCCACCAATTCTTCCGTAGTCACAGACATTATGTTTAGTTGTAACTAGCCCAACAAAATTATCTACTATTTTTACCTCTTTTGTGGTTTTTTTCTGAGCTAGATGTTATTTCCTTTCCTTTACAACTAAAAATTATTAAGGACTTCAATCAACCGTGTCTTGTACCAGGTTCAGATTTGATGCCAGTTCCTTTCTAACTTCCTGGCTTATATCCTCACTTTTCTAGTTGCTGCAGTTTTTAGCTTCCTTAGCCACTTACTCTAATACCTCTTCCTTTCTGGTCACTTGTGCATAGGTTAGTTGTATATTCTTCTAGAACTTTTCTATATCCTGTATGTGAAAGATTGCTCTCTCAGAGCCCTAATGTATTGCTTGCAGTGCTTGCAAGAGTTAACTCAGAGTAAAAGAGTATTCAGTGCTGTAGTAATGGTAGCAAAGATTCTGAGAAAGTTATGCATGGCTTCTTGTTAACTTTAAATGTGCTTGTAAAAAATTTTTGTACATGATCTGTATTTCTATTCACTAGCCAGATATTGTTATTGATGCTCGACTTGGGTGTATGTGGCACCTGCGGCTGCGTTTGGACTCCTTGGCAAGTGCCGTGGAAGATAAAAGTCAGCTGGTAGACTGTCTTCTTAGAAGGAAACAAGGTATGCTAATAGTGAAGCTAATGAACAATACTGTACTTCATTACATTGTACATAGGGTAAGCTTAAAAAACAATGACAACAGAAGTATAGGACAAAAAGTTTTTACTATAACCAATATTTAAGATCCACAAGGAAAATGGTTAATCTCTTTATGATATATATATCTGTCATATGAAAGAATTAGTGTAAGTTTTTTAACTCTTTGGCTTAGGCACTATTTCTGGGAGGGCTTCAAAGTGGCTCACTGTTGCTATCGGCTCTGTTTAACTCCACACCTAGCCAGTCAAACTAGGCCCTTGCAAATCATTAAGAGCCTACTGGGGTCCAGAGCCCAAAACCTGGCTCCCTTCCCCCAATAATCAAATACTTTATCGGTTATTACACTATATACACAGGTTATATATAAGTATCTGCATGTTTTGTTCACAATAACGAACCACTAAGTTGATATTGCGAGTCAAAAAGCAATGAGGTGTGGCCACCACATCTGCCAGTCAGTCAATCGCTGCCACTCCCTCCCTCAATGACTCCTCACTCGCCCACATCTTCCTCCCATTATACTGTTTTTGCTTTGATTCACTATATACAGACGTTATATATAAGTATCTACATGTTCTGTTTAGCATAACTGTTCATCTTAGCTGGTATAGTGCCCAAAGAGCATAGTGGCCACCCTTACTCAGCATGACAAATCATGCAGATGTCGCCACCTCTCCCACCAAAATGGCTTCTCCCAACACTCCTTTTGCTGTTATTACACTATATTACACGTTATATATAAGTATCTACATTTGCGTTCACCATAACGAACCACTAAGTTGGTATGCTGAGTGGCAGTGGCAGCCAGTGGCAGCCTGCCACTGGCTGTCCCTCCCTCCCTCACCTCACCTGACTCGCCAACATTCGCCTCCCACCATACTGTTTTTGGTTTTATTCACTATATACAGACATTATATATAAGTATCTGCATGTTTTGTTCACCATAGCAAACAACTAAGCTGGTATAGTGAGTCCAGACAGTAAAAGGTGGTCACACAGAGTCAGCAGACAACGCTACCTCCCTCCCCACCAAGATTACTCCTCCCACTATTGTGCTAATTATCATAACAATCCTGCTATTATCATAATTCTGGTCATTTTTATCACAGTCAGGGGTCTTCTGTAATACTATCATCACTAAATAATAGCATGTACATATATATTATGGCATTTTTAGGCGATGCTGTGGTCACAAGATGAACAGCAGTGCTGTGAGCTCATGCTGCATGTGCCAGTCTTGGTGGCTCACTCAGTACTGAGGACCTCACACCTGGGAATGTGGCCCATGGATTTTTTTTTTTAAATGGCATTTGTTTACAAGAGCCCTGATGAAGGTGAGGTGAACCCATGTATCCACGGGCTGTTTAAATCTTGCGTAGTACTCCAACACGTCATATAACATGTTGCACAATTTTGTGTAAGTTACTCAACACGTCATATGACGTGTTGCGCAGTTTAAGGGTTAAGTCTGGCCAGGCTGCGGTCTACCATTGTGCCCATGACATTCATAAGTTTGTTGCTTTGGCTGCCGTGTTCGGAAACATGTCTTGCACTGACATTAGGGCACGGGGGTTTTGGAGGTCTAACTGGGTCCTGGCCACCCATTATCTGGTCAATATTCCTGTGTGGTGGCCTTCTCTCTTGTAAGTCCCTTTTTCACTTGTCTTTGGTTAGGTAGCACCAGGGAGCCGAAGGGGCTCCCCACAGAAAACCAGCATTGAATGTAATGAAACACCATTTTCTGGGTGAACCCTGGAGGCTCCCTGGCACCCCTCCTCCTTCAGAGTCAGGGGTTTTCGTTTTTGATGCTCAGCCTCCGAACTGAGGTGTGAGTACCCGGTGTGAGGAGTCTGAGGCTCCCCCCTCCCTCTCCTGGGTAGGAGAGGGCTGCATGGACAAGCAACACGGTGGCGGTGTATGACATTTGCTTGTATGCTTGTTTCTTTAGGTTTTGGGGAGTTCTGCCTCTCTGTTTTGGAGGGTCTGTTTTGTTATGCATACCTTTCTGGGTGCCTAACCCTGATCGACAACAGACGTGGAATACTCCCAAACACATGGGAGGGGTTCCATAGGCCATTGCTTCCTGTGGGGCCAGGTTCTGGCTCGACGTCCCTGGTAGGCTGAACTCCTTTGACTGATACCCCAGACTAATGTAGCATATATCAGTCAGATAGCTCCAGGGAGCCTCCGGGGTTCACCTAGAAAATGACATTACATTCAATGCTGGTTTTCTATTTTGTTCTCCATAGTGAGATAGCAACAGGGAGCCACCTAGGAGACCTCCCAGAAAATCAGTGTTAAATGTAATGAAATGCCTCATTCTGGTGCACCGAAGTGGTTCACCAGACTCTCCTGGTACTCTGTATGGTGAGTTAGTTTTTCCATCTCTGTGAGCATCCAGTGCTGCCAGTTGGAACTAGAGAGTGAATGACCTAACCACTGGATGAATCATTTGCCGAGTTGTTGTTTTACCTGGCTGTTGTCTGCTTTGTTTCACTCTACCTTTCTGGTGTCTGCTATCATGGTGAGGATGATCACTGATTCCCTGCTCTCTGCACTTTATTGAAAGGGCTAGGTTTTGGGCAATGGTCCCTAGTAAGATTTTGTTGACTTGCAAGGACCTGGTGTGAATGGATAGGTAAGGAGCTAACCAGAGCAGCTAGCAATAGGAAACTACCTTGAACCTACCAGAAAGAAGCATTTCATTACAGTCAATTTTTTTTTATTATTAACATTTGTGTTATTTTACAGCAAAACCTCTTGTATTGTCTGTTGTGAAAAAAGTTGTGGAGTCAGGCCAGCTAACATCTTTAGGCCAGATATTCGATAAAATCAACATTGCTTATCGACAACATCTAAACACCGTCTTACAATCTCAGGTAATGCTCAAAATATTTTAAATTTAAAAAAAAAAAAAAAAATTCATTGAGCATACTAATATTGTTAATACAGGCGACCTTTGATTTGCACTTGGGATGTATTCTTGGAAAACGGCATGTAAAGCACAACTGTGGAAATTGAACTTAAAAGGTAATGTACTGTACATGGGGAAAAACAGGGATGTGTTCCAGCGACCTCTTAAAATCTCGCTTTCTGAGCTACTTATTCTGCCAATAATTAAAAGGATTACAAAACATCCAGGTAAGACAACAAACATGAACTAGCACCACAATGACTAAGTCATGCCTGCAAGGTCATATCAAGTACAGTGGTACCTCGCATAACGATCGCCCAAAAGGCGAACATTTTGGATAACGACTGGCCCAATCGGCGACAAACCGTCCCGTATGGCGAACATTCGTTTGAGTAACGTCAACACCACATGGTGGGGTCGCGCTGCTTCTTGCACATTCTTGGACGTCTCCAACGATGCAAATAAATTATGTTGTTCTTGTTTAAGATGCTAATGATGCTGGGATATACAGGGGTGACTGCTGAGATGTTGCAAAGCATTGACGTTTTTGTAGAAAAAAGAAATGAAATTTCTGAAATACAACAAATGTCAAAAAGGTTCGTTCGGTGTTCAGCAGGTAGGCTCTCGCTCCATTATAACAATCTTTCTTTGTTTCAAATGTGTTCCATTTGTTTTGTATTTGTCCTTTACGTCTCAATAATGGAGCAGCCTACCTTACATATACTGCACAAACCTTTATGACATTTTTCTTTCTTCAAATTTGTTCAATATTTATTTTTCATTTGTCTTATAGCAAAAGGTTCGTTCGGTGGTTGGCAGGTAGGCTGCTCCATGTAGTAATGTAAAATTCAAAAATTTACTCCAAATGTAAAATTATAAATAACTAATATTAAATTGAGTATCACTAACTATTGAATTACCTATGTATTATAGTGGATATCACAGACATGAATGCATGTGGATATTTTCCTTCAAACTTCTGTATTCAGGAGCATTCTTTCTGGTGCCCCATTGGTGGCTTCCTATAGTTGATCAGGGAGCCACCAAGGGACCCATCAGAAAGAGGTGTTTCAGTTCATTCAATGCTGGTCTCTAAACAAACAGTTCCTATCTTTAATATTGCACTCTGAAATATTAATTTCCAATTTGTTTCATTTTTCTATTTATATTTCTTTTCTGTAGCTTTGATATGGTTTGCTGTTTTTTATAAGAATTTGTTCAATACTGTACTGTCATCTGGGTAAGATCACTCAAAGAAATGGACAGGAACTTGTTTCTCAAAAGCTGAGTGCAATATTTTTGTATATCTCTTTATTACTATGCTGTAACATTAACATTAACACTCTTGTAACATTAAGACTTCATGGAATTACAAAAGTTTACTAAATTGTTTTGTAAATTTTCTTGTTCCTGATCCAAAAGCTCCCATGTAGGAAGTGTGATGTAAATACGTAATAGAGTTTCGTTTTTCATTTGTTATGTGAAATGTAAAATTTATATTGATATCCATGACATCTTATTTTCTTTATATAGGGATGTTTTACTTTTCCAGTCTTACCTGTCACTGACAGTAATATTAATTAAATATTTAAAGTAAAATGGAATATATGTAATCATTCATGAGTCGTATTCTAAGCCAAAGCCTCAGCAGTGTTTTTACACATAAGAGATACAGATGATATGATGGCAAAGACCAACTGGGATAGATTTTAAAATTGATCTAATATAACTTTCTTCCTTCACTTGTGCTAGAAGACATGCCAGATCATGGTGAGTGTTCATAATCCCCTCTATAGAATATATTTATTAAAACAAATTGTGTTCAATAAATTTATAATTTGTTAAAAGCTCTTATTAATATCTGATTATTTTTTGTTTGGTAGTGAATAACATAAATATCCAAAAAAGAAGATACATTTTTTAAGGTAGTTAAAGGGAGTCACTGATACTGGCAAAATTCTGTGCACAAGGAGTTAATTGGCAGATATCATACAAAACTAGCAATAATTTCTGTGTATTGTCAGATGGGGGAAAGTGTGAGCGCCCCTGCAGTGTCAAGCAGTGTTCCCGAGAGGAGAGGTGTTGTCATTGAGCAGGCTGATATGTACAGTAGTGTCCTAGCTCCACTCATGGAAGAAGCTGAGAAAGAGGAAGCCAGAGAAAAAACAAATGTAAAACATGAAGGTAAACTTTTGTTTATTATTCTAATGGAGTACAGTACTGTACTCTTTCTCTAGAATTACAAATACTGTATAATGTATTAGTAATTAACAAATTTGCATTTTATAATAGATATCTGAGCTTCTTGCTGTGGAGAGCAATGTCAACTCCCTGAAGCTATCCAAACTGATATGTGCTATATTAGTTTGGGGTCATCAGTCACAGGAAACCTTATGCCTACTGGGGACCACGAACCAGAACCTGGTCCCCTCAGAGAGGTGCAGGGAGTAATAGCCTATTAGCACTTGGTTTCAGGCATTACTTGCTCAGTGTCCGAACCCAGGCGTTTTTCTGTGGCTCTGCCACTTTCAGCAGGTTGGGCCCAAGAGGTACCTCACTGGTTTGCCTTACTGCACTACACGTCTGGTTTTTCTGATGCATGTGTATCACCATTTGTGTGGTGATCAAGTGGCTTTTTTTATGGTGTCCCACCTGCGGTCTTCTTCTCAGAGACAGTGTGAAGTTTCTTGGTAGTCTTTCCATCATTTTCTTTCGTCAGTTTTCGTCGATTTCAGACCTGGTTGTTTTGTTCTTTCTATCTTGGCTTTTTCTGGATCAGCATCTCATGCCTAATACTGTTGCTTTGTATCACATGGTGTTGGTGGAATTGTTACTGCTTGTGTTCGGGGTGGATGTTACTTCCAGTCCATTTCGCAAGCTTTCTCGTACGTTTTTTCACCTCTGGCCTGCTCATGCGCTGCCTGATCCTTCTTCGTCTATGGACCGAATTCTTTCTTTTCTTTCTTCTCCTCACTTTGTTGTGACCCCTTCAGTTTGGGATTGCTTTTGGAAGGCCTTGTTTTTGTTGGCATTCGCCTCTGGGGGTTAGGTTAGGGAGCTTCATGCTCTCCTCCAATGCTGGGGTTCTGTTCGTTTGGTCCAGGTGATTGTTTTGTTAGTTTGCAGCTTTCTTCTTTTCTGGCGAAGAATGAGGTGGCTGGTTTCTGGAGGGGTCCGTTGGTTGTGGATGCTCGGTTGGTTAGACTTGGGGTGTCATGTGTTATGTCCAGTGATGGTTTTATGTGGCTACCTGCAGGCCACTGGTTTTGTGAAGGTGGATGCTCTCTGGGTGAATCCGGTTTCCTTGATTTCCCTTTCCAGGGCTCGTGTGCTTCAGTTTGTCTGCAGTGTCATCAAGTCTAGCCAGCCTGCGGTCTACCCTTGTGCCCATTATGTTTGGAAGTATGCTGCACTCGCCATGGTTTTTGGCAACATGTCTTGGGTCGAAATTCGGGCACGGGGGTTTAGGAGGTCGAACAGGGGTCCAGGCTGCCAGGTAACCTTGTCAGGGCCGTGAACCTTTCGGTTCCTTCCCAGCCATGTGTAGCTTTGAAGTGCCTGGTGCGGCCATCTGTCTCTTCCTCGTCTTGAGACATGCGGTGCTGCCGCCTCCCAGGTAAACTCCTCCTTTTACTTAGCTTTGGGTGGTTAGTTTCAGGGGCTCCCCACGGAAAATCAGCATTGAATATACAGTAATGAAAGGCCATTTTCTGGGTAAGCCCTGGGAGCTCCTTGACACCCTCTCTCCCTCCGGTCAGCAGTTTTCATCGTTGAAAAACTGGATTGGTGGGGGGGGGGGGGTAACCACTAATGGGTGGGAGTGCTAGTTGCATGAAGTATTGCTTGTTGGGTTACTTTCTAGGAGAGTTATTTTGATCTTTTAGGATGTACATTGCACAGGTTAACCAGACACTGGTCTGTTTTGATTCGCCTACCTTTCTGGGTCCTTTCCTGGTCAGTGGCAATTATGACATACTTTAAATATAGAGTCCTGCTCATAGGCCATTATTCCCTGCGCCTCTCTGAGGGGGCCAGGTTCTGGCTCGTGGTCCCTGGTAGGCCTAAGGACTCCTGTGACTGATGACCCCAAACTAATATAGTACATATAAGTTCAGATAGCTTCAGGGAGCCTCTGGGGCTCGCCCAGAAAATGGCTGTTCATTACATTAAAAAAAAAATATTGTTTAAAAGAGGGACAAGCCATTCAGTTGGAAGCAAAATTAAGTAGAAAAAGGTTTTGGATTAAATCCTCGGCTCACAATCAAGAGACCCGGGTTGAATCCCCAGGCCAGACAGAAATAATTGGGCAATTTTCTTTTACATTATGCCTATGTTCACCCAGCAGTTAAATAGGTAGCTAGGAGTTAGGGATTTGTTGGATAGATCCTAGGGACTTTCAGTACCGGGCCTAAGGGGAGGGGGGGCATCGATAAGCCTAAGTATATGCTTCCTGTCCCTGACAACTGAAATCGGTATTATTATATTTTGGTTATGAGTATTGTAAGGCGATACAATAATATGAGTCGTGTTTGTTGTTAAAGTGTGATGTTTATATAAAATACTATATAGTATTGACTGAAAAATGAAAAGGTGATGTTAGTAGTTAGTAAAGAAACAGATATTGATGAAAATACAAACAGCAAATGAGTACATACCTACCTAACCCTGCATATTGTATGTGAATAAGAGTATGACAGAATATCTTGAGTATAAGAGGAAAATGACAGGGGGACTTAACAAGCCACCCTGCTAGACAAGGGTGAAAGAGATATAAGAAATGACATACTTAAATTTGTCAGGATAGGTTTAGTTACAGTATTTGTAGTTTTGGAAATCAACAGTGCAGTGCACGTTTTTCTGGGAGGCCCCACTGGTGGCTCCCCTTACCTTGTGCCTTGGTGAAGCCAAGCCTTGAGAAGTTCATCAGGATCTGTGGTCTGAGGTCCACACTGATTAGCAGAGTCATGAGCAGCATGTGGTGCTCTGAGACTATGGCAGCTTCACATATCAGAGAGAAGTCAAATGATGACTGTTGAAGGCAATCTACACTAATCTTGATGCTTTTCACTGTCACCAGATGGTGGCCTAGGTCACCCGATATTCTAGCAACCCCTATCTTCATTCACTCACCTGGTACCTACCTATCAGTGACACTGTGGGAGTGAGATCTAGCTCTTATGCCCCACCTCCTAGCCATTTATACCTGGAACGCTAATTACCTCTCTCGACATTAACATTTTCATCATGTTTTTAAAGATGTGGATGAAATTGGCTTTAACATTTTCTTCTTTCAATGCATTTCACTTGCCAGCCACCCATACAGGAAACGAAAACTTCCTTGCATCTCTTCGACTCCTTTGCATGTCCAACTTCCACCTATGTCCCCTTATCTTACCTCTTTTTAATTTAAATAGGCTTCCTTTATCCACTTTATCTAATCCCCCCTCAAGATCTTGTATATAGTTATTATATACCTTGATTTGCCAAACAAATCAGGTCTGTTTTGGGGTGCTATTTGCAGACATTCTTCTCATGTGCCTGGCATGCCTGGCTGTTTGTGTAATGGTCCAAAGAGCCAGTTTTGCTATCTCCAGGTGGTGTGTTTACCTCATCCTTGGTGACAGTTGGGTATCATTGCTTCTCTGACAGATTCAGCTGTCGCATCTTGCTGCTTGCAGCATTCCAGGTTGCAAATCGTCATTATTTAATGACAATGGCCATTTCTTTTGTCTCCATCATTAAGCCTTATGAATTCAGTGATCTTTTCATCATTGAATGTGGGCAGTCTGTAGGCACTGGACTTCTGTTTTGGCAAAGTTGCCCTCTCGTGCAGCGGCCTATCAGACTGCAGCTTTGTTGCATGACTGGATCTCGCATTACAGGATGCTACATCCTCTGCCTGATGTGGACAATGGTGCTACTGATCCTCCACTCTTTTATGAGGAGATTTATGAGTGCCTGGTCTTGGAATTTGTGCCAAGTTCCAGTCAGCCACCTCTGCCACTTCTAGTGTGACTTTCAAGTGGACAGTGCAGCCAGCTTCTGTATGCTCAGCCTCCTGGCCTTTTCTGTTGATTTGAGATCCTAAACGACATCAACTTGAGGACCTGTAATTGCCAATGAGCAAAGGGTTAGCAGCAGCAGCTTTGTAGGCTTCCTCGTCTGGGGACTTGATGGAGACTCTAGTGTCTACTATCCTTTCTGATACCTTCTTATTCATGTTAAATGTACCTGGGGCTTGTCTTTGGAGAGGTCACTGGTTGATACTCAGTCCTTTCCTTCTTCCTGACCTCAGGGTTATGGGGAGAAAATCTGGTCTGTCCCCAGGAACATCTTCAGTGGTGTTAGGAAAGGGTCTCAGTGATTTTAAGTTGCTGGAGAAGGGATCTTAGTTGCCTTTTGACTCTCTTTGGAGTTTTGTTCTAGGCTCTGAATGTTTGTTGCTCTGTTCAGATGTGTTTTCATACTCTCCATCCCAGTACTAGCTTGATTCTTCCTCTGCTTCTCCAGTTGCATTTTCCAAGTAATTTTTCCTGGCTTACATTCACTTTACCCTTCCACAGGTTTTCACTGTTTTGCCAATCCCTGTGTTTCGCTCATAAGGATTGGTTTGGTTCCTGCTACAAAACTGTGACTGTGCATCCAAGATAGATCCAAACTTATTTGATCATGGGTACTGTTTTACTTCCTGGCTGTGGAATTAGATACTGTACCAGCTTTATCCTAACTGGCAGACAACCCCTTGTTTTCCTTGGGTAAGAGGTAGCTTTTTGTTAGTAATTACCTAAGTGTAGCTACAGGATGAGAGCTATGCTCGGGGTGTCCAGTCTTGCCAGCTCTTGAAATTACTGACAATTTTGGCCTCCACCACCTTCTCATCTAACTTGTTTCAACCATCTACCACTCTGTTTGCGAAAGTGAATTTTCTTATATTTCTTCGGCAGCTTTATTTAGTTAGTTTAAATTTATGACCTCTTGTTCTTGAAGTTCCAGGTCTCAGGAATTTTTAGTGTGAAGGAATGTGTACTGAGAGAAGTAAGGGTATGTGTTTCAGAAAGGAGTGAGGAAGTGTGTGTGTGCTTGGGAGAATGCGCCAACAATTTTAAAGATATTGTAGAGTAGTTTAGAGGTAAAGTAGTATTTTATTTACATTTATTGTAATGCTATATTTGTATGTTATTGTCCACAACAATATATATACAGTATATGGTACTGTATATAAAACTGAGGCCAATTTTTTCCAGGACCCTGTCTTTGGAAAATAGAATAAGAAATGTGCTCTATTTCTGCAGGTGGCTGTCAGACAGCTGTGTCTTCCAAGATGGTGGTCGGTGTGGTAATTGAATATACACGGTCTCTGGGCACTGTTGGTGTAACTGTCCAACATTTTCTTTATGAGTTAGTAATCAATGCTCTTGTCCGAGCTCGTCAGTTCTATCAGCTGCATCAGCTCCTGCAATATCATGTTTTGGCTGACTCAAAACCCCTGGTTAGTATTATTAGAAATATTTCTTTGTAAAATTTTAGCCTCAAAGGTCACTGTTATTTTATATGGTATCACAATATATTGTACCTATTTCCATTTTGCTCACCCATCATACATTGATATTTGAAAGTGAACAAATAATTACAATTACAGTACTGGCAATCTGTGTCACTTTCCACATTTGAGGACATTTCCTGACACAAAATATCTTCATAATGACAAATTATGAATATAGTTACTCTTACAAACAGGCCTGTCTGCTGTTATCTCTGGTAGGCGTGTATGCTGCAGGTCAGCAGCTGAGTCTAGACATGTTGTGTCGACTCAACACAGCTCATGATGAAATTATTGAAGTATTACTGTCTCAGCACCAGGTCACTCCAGCACTCAGGTAAATTGCAAATATTGCTTAGATAATCCTTGTTAATCTATATTTTGGAACTTTCTTTTATAGACTTATGTGAAGTGTGTTGTGTTTCTTGCATCATACATTTCAGCATGGACACTTATTTGGCTTTGTGTTAGTTTATATTTACAGTATACAAGAATATTTTCATAGTACATGTACTGTACCGTACTGTATAATCATTGGTTAATTATGGTTCTCCTGCTTTTTATATTCTTAATGGCCCACCAAGGGTTGAGGTCCATCAAAATCAATTTGAGCAAGATCCAACTGTACAGCCAATTTTGTTTTCAGTAATTCAATGGTGTGTTAACTGATTTAGTTGGACTGTGCAATTTACTGACACTGTAACAATAGACAGAAATTGGTCTTACTTTTTTAAATATATTACATGTAATTTAATTTATCTATTTGCCACAATAGATATGCTCGGAGTGTGGGACTTGGAGAGTCAGTGTCAGCTCGTAAGTTTCTGGAGGCTGCCATGGTGGGTGGCAACCCACAGGTATTCTACTCTACCTTTACCTTTTTTGTGCTTCGCAACACAAGACTTCGTGGGAGTGCAGCTTTTGCCAAAGGTAGGAAACATTTAGATGATCTTGCCTGATAACTTAATGCAGTAAGATATGCCGTGGGTTGACAAATTATCCTCACTGTTTAATAAAAGAAGGGAGTAAGAAGTTACACCTGTAAACTTAGTTTAAAAATTTTTAGTTTCATGCTTGCCTTGTCCTCATAAAGATTAACTCTTTGTCTGTGTCCCTTTTTATAGAAAACAACACCCTGTGTGCAGGAAAACAAAAAATCCTGTAATATGTATAATCAAAATGTGTTCCCTGATCACAGTAAAAATTAAAAAAATAATATGTGGCATACTTTGGCCATGGTGAAGCAAGGAAATCTCACAATGACATCATTAATCATGAGCGTTCATGGAGCCCCATTGGCTTCCTGAAACTATTCAAACTGATATGTGCTGTATTAGTTTGGGGTTATTAGTTACAGGAGTCCTTATGCCTACCAGGGACCACAAGCCAGAACCTGGCCCCCTCAGAGAGGCGCAGGGAGAAACGGCCTATGAGCACTTTACATTTGAAGTACAGTATCTTGTAATTGCCATCGACCAGGAACGAACCAAGGTAGGCGAATCAAAACAGACCACTGTCTGGTTAACATGTGCAATCTACATCCTAAAAGATCAAAATAACCCCCTAAAAAGAAACCTAGCAAGTAACACTTCATGCAACTGGCACTCCCGCTAGTTAGCATCTCATAATTCACCTTTATGAGGGGGAACTGGCAGCCCACCACTACAGTTCTTAAACTGATGTGCTGGTGGTCTGATAAGTCACTTCAGGCCTCATGTTCCTGTTCTGGATTTTTGCTTTGTGTGGCTGTTTCAGCTGTGTGTGGTGTGGTGGCCAGGTGTCTTAGTGTACATGCGCCTAGAGTGACCTTCCCTAGGTGCTCCGTGAGTACTGCCCTTGCATGTCAGGGTTATCTTCCCTGAAGCATTTGGGAGTCACTCCCCATTTAAGGATTTCATCGCTTGATGTTGTCTTCGCTCTTGGAATACGTAGAGTGTCTAGGGCTTTCAGTCTTGCCCCGGGTAGGGGAGTGGTATTGGCTGGGTGGGGCACACTGCGGCTGGCGCAGTTAGCTTTACTTCAACGCGATGGCCGATGTTTCTCTCTGACTGCCAGTTTGTTTGTTGTGTGTCTTTGGGGGTTTTTGTTTTCATTTTCTTTTCATTCTCTTGCATTATCACCTTGTTTAGACAGAGGAGATCTGCTTAACCCCTTATTAGGCAAGCCTAGGTTGTGCTGGTAGTCTTCCTCTGTTGCCCCTGAGGTTTTATAGCTGCTACTGGTGGTAAGTTTGCCTGCTACCTGACAGGGTTTTACTGGCTTAGCTGGCCTCAGTGCCCGGGCTTCTCGTAGAGCTAATTCACCCTAGAGGCCCTGGAAAACCCCTTGTGGGCTCGGTCATACAATGACTACTTCTTCCAACTCCGCTCTCACCTTGTGCGAAGTTGAAGGTTGTTCGTTGCCCGTCTCAGGAAAACGATCATTTGCACTGCCTCTGTCATGGTGCCTGTTGGGTCAGGGACACCACCAACCCAGTCTCTCGTGGGCCTTGTTCCCCATTTGTACTGCACTTTACTCATTCCTTGTCTGTTGGTCTCAGGGATCATGTAGCGACTGCATTGCATATTTGATTTTCCTTACTTCAACAAGCCATGTTGGTTGCCCAGTTGAAGGCCCCGGAGCTGTCCCATTTGGGTTTTAGGGACCAGGATTTAGGGGTGTTGGTCGCTTCGACCTTGGTTCTTTCTATTCCCCTGCTTCCATCCCAGGTGGGTGTGGTTTGCCCTGCTCCTTTTTCCCCCCTGATAATGTATAGTTTGTGACAGTCATTCAAAGATTCCATTCCATGTCTGACTTATTACATAACATTTTCCATATTACATAACATTTTCCATATTATATTCCATTAGCTGTTTCAAATCAGTCATTCAGTCTCTCCAGGTCATGCTTAAAGATACTGCAATCTGTTAGATCCTTGTTAATCATTCTCTGTTACTTAATTAGTAAACTGTTACTAATTAAGCATAATATTTTTATCTACTAAATGATTGCTCATCCACTGGAGAGTCAGCTTTTTGCAAGTTAATAAATATTCTGTTCACCCATCCATCTCTTTCCTGTATTATTTAAGTCAATCTGGCATAAAAACTTAGCAGGTTTGAAACAAGTTTCCTAGCCCGAATCCAAACTGTTTATTGATTTGCATGATATTCCTTTCTAGGCAGTGTATTCATGTTAGTCTGATTTCCTTTTGTGCAGACAGACATTTGTTTATCTGTGGATAAGCAAATGTGTTCCAAAGTTTGCTGTACTTTGAGCATCTGCATTCATTAAAAAAAAAAAAACGGTTCCTTCAAGAATACATTTGAAAATTTGCATTAAGGGCTTCATAAACGACTTACTTTCCAAAAGTGTGTTTGCAACTTTGAGCCTCTGAATATTTTCTTTAACCTGTAGTTGTGTTTTACAAACTTGAAAAAGGTTAAGATCAGACTTGCTTTGTCCACAATGTATGTGTATGTGTAACTGCTGTATGGAGAATTATGCCAGGGTGCACATTCTGTTGGGGGCCAGAGAAATGATTCAGGGACTCCCTCAAAGTGACCTTCAAAGACCTGGACATCACCACCAATACTTGGAAGTTGTTTGCTCAGGACTCTCCAACTTGGAAAAGCAAAGTCAAAACAGAGGACTGTGTGGCAGAAAACAGACGCGCTGCAGAGGCCCAAATGAAACGAGCCACGCACAAAATTAGCCCCTGTGTATCCATTAGATTCAATAGGGCTCGCAGCTGAAACCTCACCCACAAAATAAGTCTATGCTCATCTTGATGTCTCTCTACATCATAGTCAGCACTTTGTTCTCTTTTCAGCCAACCAAGCCCTCATTTTCATTTGAAGAGTTCTGTCCACTCATTTGACTTTCAGTAGTAGTTTCAACCAGAATAGGGGGTTTGTTTTGGGATGCCTACCTTTCTGGGTGTCTGACCCAGTCGATGGCAGATCCCCAACCACAACCACATGTGCATTTCTATAGGTCATTGCTCCTTGTGCCTCTCTGAGAGGGCCAGGTTCTGGCTAGTGGTCCCCGGTAGGCCTAGAACTCCATTCACAATGATGCCAAAGTCTAATATATCCATATCAGCCTGAAGAGCTCCGGGAAGCTTCCGGCTCTCACCCAGAAAATGGCATTTCATTACATTCAACACTGTTTTTTTGTTATTAATATACAGAAATCATGATAATTAGAAGATAGTGACTTTCATTAATTGATTCATGTACTACTATTGCAGGTGAGCACTGTGATATCTATGTTGAACACTATAAGAAACTCTTTGGTGAAGTACCTGACTATGGGCCCCTGCAGTCCTAGGACAAGAGTGGATAAGACTTCATCCAGAAGAAACTCTGACCAAGAATTTAGTTGACTGACATGAATAACACAATTCATTTTAGAGTGGGCTAGCTCTATACAAAAGTAAAAGACTATTTACTTGCTGTTAACCAGAGCTTAGGTGACATTTATGTATCTGTTACTCGGATCCATAAATGTTTGATCTGTATAAAATGTCAAATTTAAAATCAACTCCAGTACCCTTGGTTCCTGTATATTCCTGATCACTAAATCACTTCTCTTCATCTCACACCAGATTATATTTCCATTCTACCTAGTCGTAAGTCTCATGAGCTATGCTGCAGAACAAATGTGTGCGCCCATAGAGAAAAATCTTTACTGAAAATTTTATAGCAAGAACAGTGTTTAACTTTTATAATACTGTATATGTGATAAAATTGTCAGACATGAGGAAGAATCCCACTGCTGTCGAGGCAACTCTAACTTTGTAACTGTCACAATTTTACCATATATTTTATCCTACAATAATGATCTACTGTAACCTGACAGCATTCTGTAATATAATACCAAGTGCTGTTAGGACTTGAGTAGGACTAGATGTATATGGGCCCATTTAAGCTTGGGCTCGTCTCTGTATGTTCTTGGCAAGCTGGTCAGGAGTGTGAACCAGGCCGTTAATGATGCAAGTAACAGGGTTATAACAGTTGCATCAAACACTGGCCAATGCAACATACACAGATGACAAATCCTGAATGTTATTCAAACTCTCATAAAGTATTTAAATATTGGCATGTTAATTAACGTATCCATGTACCTGTTAAATGTGTAATTATACTTTAACCTTTTAGATAGGTAGAAAAGAATAAAAGCCTATGAGAAATTACAAAATTATAGTATTGCATTAAAATTTGGTTACCAAAAAAACATTATTTTTACATACAGTATTACATAATCTTACGTTGTGGATATATAACAAATGTAACACAATGGTCAGCACAGTCAATTACAAATTTAACAGTAGTCAGCACAGTCAATTCACAAGCGAAAGTCCTGGGTTCAATTCCTGTGGCTGGATGAAAACATTTGAGCATGTTTCCCCTTCCTATAATGCCTCTAATCATCTGGCAGTAAATAGGTATCTGGGTGTTAGGTAACTGTTGTGGGTTGCAACCTGGGAAAGCTTCCTGTCCCTGACAAGAGGACACCATATATAAATACAGTACTATATACTGTACTATAAGTGATAGTGCACGAACAACTATTTACCTCAAATACAGGAGAGACATTGATATGCATTGCAGTTTTGCTACTTGGCTAAAGTTGCATAATATAGGTTACATTAAAGTTGCAAGTTTACATTCAGTATCTTGAAATATTTTTCATGTACATACAAGATATTACAGCCAAGACTGTTTATATACATACACAGGATCCCACATTTAGAGCACTTGCTGCTCCTACCACATTGCATAACTACACATGTAAGTATGTATGTGTATTGGCTACAGTTTCATAAAATACATTCCTGGGAGAATTTGTAACTATACTAAATTACTTTAAAATATATATCTCATCCTATCCAATTGGGCTATCATTGCACCTTTTACTAATTTTGAATGATAATAAAGACTTTAATGTCAAAAGCTACTAGACCTGCAAATCTATATGGGAGATAGGAGAGGGGAAAATTTTTTCATGAAATGCCATACATGTTAAGTGCAAACATTAAGATTTCTCTATACCAAGTCACACAATAAAGTAAAGGAGTGACATTTGCATATTTCAAATCTAGGGGGACTATCCCTTGGTCCAGAGATTTCATGAAAAGTAATTTCAACGATAGGCATAGTTCTTCTGCCAGTTCCGTTATAACTTTGGATTGGATTCCATCCACACCTGGGGCTTTTGAGTCTTTTAGTTTGTCAATGTTCTTCCTGGCTCTTGTGTACTTTTTCTGATTCTCCTTAGTGCTGTTCTATTGTCTTCTGTTCCTAGTTATTGTTTTTTATGTTTGTTTTGGTTATTTCCTTCTCTTTCCTGCATTGCCTATTGAACTTTGCTTACTTTGTTTACTTTGCATTTCTCGTCCACCTCCTTTTTGAGATTTATGAAGTGCTCCATTGCATGTGCATATTCCTGGGTTATGAATTCTAATACTGTATATCCTTTGTTGCCTTCCCTTCGAATTCTCTCTCTCTCTCTCTCTCTCCAAATGGATTTCACACAGACAGGCCCTCCCTAACCTGTATTAGGGAGGGCCTCCCCCATGTCAATAATCCCGAGCCCCTCTCAACAGATTTCTTGGTCTAACATGGCCCCAACCCCAGTTATACTATGTACTCAAACACGAGAACATATGATCTAGAAATGGTATGGTCTAGAAAATACCTACTAAAGTTTAATCCCGTTAAGTGTAAAGTAATGAAATTAGGTGAAAGAAACAGGAGGCTGAACATAAGGTACCATCTGGGAGGTGAAATCTTGCAGGATTCAAATAGAGAAGATCTGGGGGGTTGATATCACACCAAACCTGTCCCCGGAAGCCCACATCAAAAGGATATCATAGCGGCATATGCTAGCTTGGCTAACATAAGAACTGCCTTTAGAAACTTGTGTAAAGGATCGTTCAGAACCTTTTATACCATTTATGTCAGACTAATCCTGGAGTATGCAGCTCCTGACTGGAGTCCATACCTAGTTTAACACAAGACAAAGTTAGAGAAGATTCAGAGGTATACCAACAGACTAGTCCCAGAACTGAGAGGTATGAGCTACGAGGAAAGGCTATGGGAGCTAAATCTCATGTCCCTAGAAGACAGAAGAGTAAGGGGGAAACATGATCATCACCTATAAAATTCTCAGGGGAATAGACAGGGGTGTACAAATACAAACTACAGTATTTAGCACAGGTGGAACATGAACAAGGGGACACAGGTGGAAATTAGTACCCAAATGAGCAACAGACACATTAGAAAGATTTTTATTCAGTGTCAGAGTAGTTAACAAATGGAGGTGTCAAGTGCTGGTAATGGTGAAGATGGTGGTGTCAGTCGTAGTGAACGTGGCGTTGTTTTTGGTGGTGAGGGTGGCGGTGTCAGTGGTAATGGTGGTTGTTGTGGTGGTGGTTGTTTTACTGAATTTACCTGAGGGCCACTATCTCTCTAGTGGCCTCGACAAGAACAGAAATTGAAGCCGGCGGCTTGTCAAACATCCTCCCCCTCTTGTTCTGCTGATTGTACAGAGCTGGATCTTGAAATTCAGCCGCGTTTCGGCATTTACGGCTTCAGTGGGTAGGCGGTTCCATGGATTTATAACCCTTGTGGGTGGAAGAGCATCTCCTGTTTTCTGTCCTGCATTGTGGCTTGTTGAGCTTGAAACCGTTACTCCTTGTCTGCGTAACATCTGACCTTTTGAAGAAGTTGTCCGGATCAACAACTGCAGACATCTTCAAGAGAAAACTAGATTGTTTTCTAAAAGAAGTGCAGGACCAACAGAGCTGTGGTGGGTATGTGGGCCTGCAGGCCGCTCCAAGCAACAGCTTGGCGGACCAAGTTCTCACAAGTCGAGTCTGGCCCCGGGCTTGGGGAGTAGAAGAACTCCCAGAACCCCATCAAGCACGTATCAAGCAACATTCTCCAAAATTGTTCAGCATTTTAGTTGTTTTGATGAGATCAGCTTTGTCATGTCTGGTGTGCAGTGTTATTAGCCCAGTGGCCCTCAACCTGTCCTGGTATGAAGTTAGCAAAATCTGAACTTACATCTAAAATCTAACAAGGAACTCGCATAAAAATAATATCTTTACAAATAATAATTAAATAATAATTAATTTTGCCAGGGGACAGGCAGCTAGTGTATACATACATGTTAGGCTTATACCAAGGTCTTCACCCTCCCCCCCAGGATTGAACTATTGACCTTCCCCCCAAGATGCAACCGGACAAGTTGACTTAACTCCTGGGTACCTTTTTACTGCTAGGTGAATAGGTGCAATAGGTGATAGGAAACGCACTTAAGCATTTCTGTCCCACCCAGGATTGGAACAGGAATTCCCGATTTTGAGACGAGAACGAACCCGACGTCATGCATCACACTGCTACTTGTGCTACACGTTACTTGATTGATGTACGGACATGCTCCATATATTCCTGCAGAGAATTTATGACAATTATGTGGGCGTGCAGGCCCCAAGCAGCAATAACCTGGATGAACTAGAGAAGCCAGGCCTCAGACCAGGTCGTAAGAGAAGCTTGGCCTCTGACCAGGTTGTGAGAGCAGAGAAACCACCAAACCGGTAAAACACTAGAAACGTCGCCCCGGCCACCACGGCTCCCGTTAATTATTGAGATAAACGGCTGGAGGTGAGGTGACATCTCCCACCTGCTGATGTATCCCTTACCGGGGAGAGGCCTCCACTGTCTATACCCACCTGCTGATGTATCCATTAGCGGGAAACTTAGAGCCCGACGTGTGGGGGGGGCTTTATAACCCACCAGTGAAAAAATAAAGACAAAAAATCGCGAGGCGAGATAATTGGGCAGTATAACTCGTCCTGAGTGAACACACTATCACCACCATACCAACATGTGCTGTGCATCACCCTCCAAGAGGAAGACACCCCTCGGGGTTGTGAAATGTATGTGATATACCCCACACAAGCCGTCATTACCTATTCCTGCTCTTCTCAACATGTTCCGTACATTCCAGTTAATTTATATATATATACAAATTATTATATATATATATATATATTTGAACGAATATAATATAGAGAAGTTTGAAGGTGAAGCTTGACGAGCAATGGTGTAACAGCGTGTCTGTCTGGTGAGTGTTGTGATGCACTCTGATTAATGTTGATGAGGTTGAAGACCCGCGGTATATCTACAGCGTCTGTCACTCAGCCACTATTAGAGTCACACTAACGACCACCCGATTGATTGATAAAGATTAAGCCACCTAGGAGGAGGCACGGGTATGAGTAGCCCCGTAAGTGATAGATTTTTGGAGTGAATGTGATCTTTGGTTGTTGTTGTTGTAATAGATTCAGCAACTTGGAACAAAAAAATTCCAAGCAGCATGGGCTATGGTGAGCCCGTAGTACACACCTGACACAGGAGATGTGTGATCTCTGGTGTGCAACATCTTGAAGTGTCTCTGGGCCCTTGATTGATTGTTGCCGCCGAAGGCGGCTAGTTTATTGTGCACCCCATACTCATCCTGTGAGCGGTAGCGCAAAAGCATTACAGAGGGCACAAAAGGTCTTTATCAGACCTCATCTTAGATTATTACATAAACAATTTCTTCAATCCTTCACAGCCCTTGGTGAACGACGATCCGATTGACTGATGACGATTAAGCCACTTAGGAGGAAGCACGGGCATGAATAGCCCATAATCCGACGATCCGTTGTTTTAGATTCAGCTACTAGGAACTAAAAGTTCCAAAAATCAGCTACTAGGAACTAGTAGCACGGGCTATGGTGAGCCCGTTGTGGACTTACCTGGTTGGGAGGAGCGGGGCTGTAACTTGACCGACGATCCGATTGATTGATTGATGAAGATTAAGCCATCCAAAAGGTGGCACGGGCATGAATAGCACGTAAGTGGTGGCCCTTTGGAGCCATTACCAGTATCAATAGCTGATACTGGCGATCTGTGGAGGTGCGACTGCACACTGCGGAGAGGTCGTGACCTCTCACCGACGATCCGTGCTCTGACGGCTTATATTCTACGCTTCGCCTAACTTGCCAAGTTAACCATCTTGCTGGATATCTTTCGGCTGACCTGATTGATTCTTGGAAACCTTGGGATTGTATTTAGTGCACATACTAAACTTCTGAAGTTCTACAAAAAAGTGTAGAACTTCTTGGAATCTGGCATTCTTAGGGGTAAGTTATGTGGAAGTAACAGGCACATCTATAACTGCCTGCATTGAAACTACTGAGAACTTTGGAGCAACTATAGTACACATAACTACTGTTACAACACATGCAACCCCTAAATCCCCTGTTTATGAATGAAAAACCCTTTACACGACTTGCAACTGATGGCGTTCGGACAATTCTCGAACAGAGCTTCGCTGACGACCTCTGTTCGAATCACAACTGCGTAAATGGTTCACCCATGTACTAAAAATACAAATAATTACCCACAGAACCTAACACCTAACCTACCTTAGATATGCACAATATGCTGATACATACTAATATTAATTTGTAAGTGAGAAAATTTCTATTTTTAATGAACAGCATGTTAAAAATTATGAATGCGTCTCTGGGGTCGGCCCCTGCATGGAATGAACATAGCCTGTGGACGGGTTGCCAGGCCGATGCTTGAAGAACGTCAATATTACAATGCTTTAATTTTGTCTAAAAGCTATGCAAATTTTAATGGTTTGTAGATTCCGAATGTATCGGGTGAGAAGACAAGATTCCTTCATTACCCACGATGACGTATGAATCACTAATACACTGCTCTGAGCTGCTTCCGCAAATCATGTCATTATCAAGATTGTTAGTTTTCTCCGTTTCTCAATGTTGCCATCGACTTAATTTATTCGATTTGAAAGTTGAAAGATAGCGTTTTCC